AATAGAAACAAAAACTATTTATGTAAGAAACATAAATAATGAATCAATCGTCACGATTTTTTTATTCGCGTGTTTACTAAGCAATATGAAAAAGCCTTTCCAAAAGTTAAAAAAATTATTAATTCAAAAAATTTGCTTAGTCCGTGGATGACGAAAGGACTCATTAAGTCATCAAAAAAGAAACAAAAACTTTACCAAAAATTAAAAAAAAAAGAACTACAAAAATGAAATAAAATACAAAAAATATAAAAATTCTTTCGAAAAGGTAAAAAAGCAATAACAAAAAAAAATTTCTATTCCTTATTGCTTAATAAAACATTTGGAAATGCAAGAAAAACATGGAATGTAATTAAAGAAATGACAGGCGTAGGAAATGTAAAAATTAATAATTTCCCAAAAAGATTGCAAAGAGATGGTAATATAGGAGATGCTTTTGTAAATAAAAAAATTGCAGAAACATTTAATGACTTTTTTATAAATATAGGGAAAAAACTAGCCAGTGCAATTCCTGAGGGGAGTAAATTGTTTGAATCCTTTTTGAAAAAATTAGATTCCATAATGGATGAGTCGGAGCTTCTGGTTGATAAACTTCGGCTAGCAATTAGTATGTTGAAAACAAATAAGAGTGCGGATCTAGATGAAATTAAGCCCGATGTTGTAAAAGCGGTCTCTGATATTATTGAGAAACCTCTTTTTATAATTTTTAATCTTCTCTAAGAAACGGCATTTTTCCCGACCAACTAAAACTAGCAAAAATAATTCCAATATACAAAAGCAGCGATGATTCGATAAAATCTAACTATAGACCAATTTCCATACTTTCCTGTTTTTCTAAAATACTAGAGCGTATTATGCACAACAGACTGTACAATTATCTTGAAACTAATAACATTCTTTATCATAAACAGTTTGGTTTTCGCAAAAACCATTCCACGGAGCATGCAGTAATTGATCTTGCGAACCAAATTCTAAATGGTTTTGAAAACAATAGTTACACTCTCTGAATATTTCTGGATCTATCCAAAGCCTTTGATTCTGTCAACTACAAGATTCTTATCAACAAACTATTTAATTACGGAGTAGCTCACTCTAACTTAAAGTGGCTGCATTGTTATTTAGAAAATCGTAAACAAGTAGTACCATTTGATTTAACATGTTCCCATTTGAGTCAATAAGTTGTGGAGTTCCACAAGGATCAATACTTGGACCTTTACTGTTTTTAATTTATATTAATGATATTTATTTGTCATCAAAAATACTTAATTATATTATTTTTGCTGACAATACTAATGTTTTCTATTCTGATTCAAATTTAAAAAATATTTTTTGTAATGTAAACACTGAACTAACATATCTCAATGAGCGGTTTATAGCAAATAAACTTTCGTTGAATATTGAAAAAAAAAAAATATTTTGTTTGCTAAACCATCTAAATCCGAGAATCTTCCACTTACACTACCAGAACTAACTATTAACAATATTAAAATAAAAAGAGTGTTTTCAATGAAAAAGCTAGTCGAGAACAAAGTCCCAAAGACTTTAGGGATAATGTATAAGACTAAACCTCTTTTGAACAAAATATGTTTAAAAAATTTATATTTTTCGTTTATACATAGTTATATTAATTATTGTAATTTTGCCTGGGCAAACAATCACTCATCTTTCCTAAAAACTATTTACACAAAACAAAAGCAAGCAAGTCGATTAGTTTCGGGCATGGATAGATACGAAAGTGTCGAGCCGTTACTCAAGGAAATAAATGCCCTAAATGTATACAAATTAAACATCTACCATAACTTGTTATTTATGTTTAAACTTCAAAACGAATTAATTCCAAAATATTTTTATAAAAACTTCTCTCTTATTAATCATAAATATAAAACAAGACACTCAATAAATAATTACTACATCCCACTAACATTACTCAAAAAGTCTGACTTCTCAATTACATGTCGGGGACCACGCTTGTGGAACTCGGTTCTTGACGAAAATATGAAAAAAATAAAATCTATTGATATATTTAAAAGAGCTATAAAAAAACACTAAATTTAAACAATACGTACGTTCTTTCATTTTTTTAATTAAAATATATATATATATATATATATATATATATATATATATATGTATGTATTTTGCGTGTGTATGTATATATATATATATATATATATATATATATATATATATATATATATATATATATATATATATATATATATATATATATATATGTATGTGTGTGTGTATGTATGTGTGTGTATGTATATGTGTATGTGTATATATGTATATGTGTGTATGCATATGTAAGTGTGTGTATATATATATGTGTATATATATATATGTATATGTGTATGTATATGTATATGTATATATGTGTATGTGTGTATGTGTATGTGTGTATGTATATATGTATATGTGTATATGTATATGTGTGTATGTGTATATGTGTATATGTATATGTATGTGTGTATGTGTATATATATACATATATCCTTCTTATATATATTCTTCTTGTTTCTTTTTGTTTGTCTGTTTTAATTTTGTTTTAAAAAAAAAAAATGAGTAGATTAACTTAAATCTATAAAATGTTCGGAATCTTTTTTAATTCAAAATATCTTTTGTATATTTAAATATATATTATGAAGTTTATTGGATATGTATACGCATATGTACGGATTTGTAAATTATTTTTTCAAACTTTTTTATTTTTTATTATTTTCAAACTTTTTAGTTTTGTCAAACTTAAAAATTATTTTTTCAACTTTTTGATTTTTTCAAACTTTTTAATTTGTTTTTTTTAAACTTTTTTTAATTTCACTCTTTTATATATTATTGGAAATTGTAAAATTTTTTTACTTTTTTTATTTTCACGAAGGGGCTTCATGATAAGACATTTTGTCTTCTACTTGCCCCAGTCAGCTTGCATTTGTATAAATTTATTTGAATGTAAGGTTAACATTGTAAAATGTGTCAAATGACGAAAAAAAAAAATTAATAAAAAAAAAAAAATTTAAATATAAAACTATGTCATGCTAATGTAACATGCTAGTAAAGTAATCAGCAAAAATCATAATACTGTTAAACATAGATGGGAGAAAATTCACAATGAAATCACAATAGTTAAGAGTGAGTTTGCAATGAAGTTACAATGATGGGATTGAATTCACAATGAAATCACAATAGGTGGCAGCAAATTTGCAATAATTGCAAAATTATAGATTTATTAAATACATGTTTTATTGAAGGATTGCATAAATAACTTACAAGTTCTATTTTTATCTATATAAGAAACACTTGTACTTTTTTATATATATACACCACTATGCTTTAGGTTACAATTTTTTATAAAATATAGTTTAGTTTTATTTAATTAAATTGTGTTCATTTCACATTAAAATTTTTTTTTATTAAATTATTGTTTAAAAAATAATATTTTTTTGCGTTAAAAACATACAAAGGTCTGTAGGCAATAATATTTTAAAGAATGTAGCAGTTAAACTTTCTTTAAGTATATAACATGTTTATGAATGTAGCAGTTAAACTTTCTTTAAGTATAAAACATGTTCATGAATTTAGCAAGTAAACGTTCTTTAATTATATAACATGTTTATGAATGTTGCAGTAAAATTTTCTCTAAGTATATAAAATGTTTATGAATTAATGACCCTTTAAGTATTAAATTTTTTTTTTTGGCAAGTTTTTCAGGACAACCAACATTTTCATAGGTTTTTTAGCATTTGGCACAACTATCTAAAAATGTAAACATTTTTAAATTTTTATTTTATTTATTAACCAAAAATGATTGCATTTTTTAGGGGACAACCTATCTTTGTTTTTAATATACTACATATTTTTAAAAGACTACAGTTAGCTTAGACTTTTTAGATTTTTATCAGAGTTGAGGAGGTCATATTTATTTTCTAATATGATACAAGTTAATAAAATATTGAGTGACATAACTATTTAATATAGTTTTCAAAAAATAATTAGATGCTTGTTTAAATTTTGAAAAAAATTATAATACCTTAAAATATTCTAAATTTTCCTAAGACTATAATTTCTAAACTGTTGCACTTGTAAGTCTGAAATTCTAATTTTAACCTATGTGCATAATGCTGATAAGGAGATGTGAAAATCAGAAAATTTAGAGTTAGTGTCCCACAAATATTTTCTCAAATTGGTTGAAAATGTATTAGTTAAAATGACTCCAAAAAACTGCATGCCTATGTAAATCATAAAACACTACACATGAGTGTATTTGCTCACTCAATCTTGATCAAGACACAATGACAGAAGGCCAACAAGTAATATGTTTGACTCTAAACCAGTATTTTCAATCTGTATTTGAAATATAGCCTGAAGGTCTTATACCAGACTTTCAAAATCAAACTGACATTGAATGTACCGAAAGAGAAGTAATTATTAATAACGAAAACGTAAAATCGAGATTGATGAATCTTGATGTGACGAAATCAAAAGGGTTTAATGGAATACATCATCAATTTGTAAAAAAATGTGTGGGCGCTTTTGCAGTACCCCTAACACTTATCTTCAATTTCTCAATTACAACTCCAGAAGTTCCAGATATGTGGAAGAAATCAAACGTTATGCCAATTTTCAAAAAGGGATGTAAGTTAAACTGTAGTAACTACAGACTAGTCTCGAAAACATCAATACCATGAAAAATACTGGAGAGATTAATACACTAAACTTTATGCGGAAGAAAGCAAAATAATGAAAATAATAAAAACATGATGCCCTTTTTTTGCAAAACGATATTGACAAAGCCGTGGAATGGACTAGAGATTGGCACATGTTTTTTAATCTTGAAAAGTGTAAGGTTATGCATGTTGGTCGCAAAAAAAAAAAAAATCAACTCATAATTACACAATGTTAGGCCAAGACGGTTTTTGTCATCATTTAAAATGTACTACAGTTGAGTGTGACCTTGATATTTTTGTGTCTGATGATTTGAAATTAAAATCACAAGTAGATGCAGCAAAAGCAAATTAGAAATTAAGTGTGCTAAAAAAAGCATTCAGAGGACGCGGTGCATTCCTTTGGAAAGTATTATAAACTTATACATATATTCGACCTCATCTAGAGTTTGCAATCCAAGTCTGATCACCACGCCTTATTAGCGATATCAACAAATTAGAGCAAATTCAAAAAAATTAATAAACTTCTTGAGACACCATAATTATGAACAAAGATTAGAAGCACTTGGACTGACAACACTAGAAGTGAGGAGGCAAAGAAGGGATCTTTTGGAATAATTCAAAATCAATCAAAACCTCGAACAAGTAGATTTCTATGTACCACAACCTTACCCATTTTCCAAATCAGGGTCATACAAGCTAAGGCGGAACCATGAGTTCATGCTTCAACCACAGCGAGTCAAAAACTGTATAGAGAGACTCAACTTTTTTACAAATCATGTTAGTGCATCATGAAATGCACTTTTCAGCAACACCATCAACTCGTAATCTATTAATATTTTCAAGTCAAGATTGCATCTCCAGAACACTCACACATAATAGAATTATGGATCAGATATGTCAGCATAGCAAGGCCTGGCACCAAGCTCCGTCAAATTTTATAACATTTTTTGTAAAATTTAATTACTGAATAAACTAAACTAAACTAATCGCCTGAAAAAAGACGTATTAAAAAATTGCCCCACTCTCCCCTAAATAAATAAAATAGTTAACGAAAAAATGGTAAAACAGTATAAAAAAGTTAAATGATTCAAAATGATAAATACAATTTTACAATTATATATTTTATCTGGTCTACTCAATATTTTCACAATTATGTGTTTTATCTGTTCTACTTTATATTTTCACAATTATGTTTTATCTGGTCTACTCAATATTGATTTGATGGATTACTTTACTTATTACTTCAAGCTGTTAAAAGTTAAGAGCTTTATACCAGCCACATTCTCTACTCAGAAAATTTTATATAAAAATTATTTATTGCTATCAAAGCCTATTACTTTTAATTTTGTTACCATGCTTCCCATTACTTATTTTTAATATATTTTTTTAATTTATAGTATATAAATTTTTTATTACTTTACTATTATTATCTTAAATTAGAACCCAAAGCATATTGCTTGGCTTCATGGAGTTCTGTTGGATGGTTTAGGATCATCTTTATTTCTTTGTTACCTGGAGATACTGCAGTCGTTAAGAAGAAAGGTAAATATTGTTAATAATAAAGTTTTTAAAGAGCATGACCCAATAACCATGTAAATTTTGTCCCCATAAAATTGTCTCTTAATATCAAAATTTCGGTTTTTAATCAATTTATTATTAAATATCACCTTGAAATCTACCGGAATGACACGAAAAAAATTCAGAAAAAAATTGGAAATATTCTAGAAAAATCAATTAAATAATCCAAATAACCAGTTTTTTTAAAATAAGTCTTTATCTTTGTTGCCAATAATTTGCTAAAACTCATCAAATTGGTTTGACAAGGTTCTAACTGATTATTATTATATAGGAGAATAGCAAATAAATATTATCTTCTTTTTTTGTCTAATTAAAAATATTTATGATTATCTTTTATTTATTTTTATACATCAACGAAAAAAAAAATACACAAAAAATTAAAAAAACAATAATATAAAACAATAATAATAAAAAAAAATTAAAAGATTTTCTCCTAATATAAAATATTTCAGTTTAAACCTTGTCAAACCAATGCGACGAACTATGTTTGTATCTTTTTTGAAATATGATTATCGCGTAACTTGGAATCTTTAATAGTTTAAAATAAAGAAATTTAATGTGTAACTAGTTTTGATTGCTAAATGTTAAATGGCAAAAAAATATGCTCAATATTTGTATTGTGCTTGTTGTAATGTTGTAGAAAAAAATTTAGAAACAGATAATGAAGCGATTGTTGATGTCTATATGAAAAAATGTATATTGATTCCACATGGTTTGAAGTATTGCAGCATTCATCTTTGTCAATTGTCAACTCAATTAATGAAACAAAGTATAGAGATGTTGACAATTGGTCAAGCTAATCTAAAGCTCAAAAAAGATGTTTAAAATCTTTTCGAAATAATGTGTAATTTTGTACTTCAAAATTTGCTTTTTTAGCCATTTCATGGATAAAACAACTTTGATAGAGTATATCTCAGAATATCTGGATTTACAAGAGAACAATTTATTAAAATGAGTGAATCACTTGACTCAATGAGAAATTCAATCCAGCGCTTTAAAACCCAGACTTTGGCAATATATTTATTCTGGCTCAAAACTGGGTTTGATCATTTAACAACATCAATGTTTTATTGTAATTTGGATCCTGAATTTGATATAAGTCGATTATTTCAACAATTCAGAGAGTCACTTACCATTGATTTTGTTCCAAATAATCTTAACGTGAACCACATCCAAAGAAATGAATTATTAAAAAACTATAGCCTTATAGCTAAAAAGATTTTTCAAACAAGCGATGATCAATTGATATTAATAGCAGATGGAATGTACTGCTGTTATCAAAAGAATAGCAATAATGTTTTTTATCATAAAAGATAGTGTCCAAAAAAAAAACACTTGGTAAAGCTATTTGTGGTATGTTCTTCTAACGGATATATCGTAGATGCTTATGGCTTTTTTAAAGCAACAAAAAATGATGCAACTATATTAAGTGAGATTCTTATCAAGGACTAAAGCTTATGTTCTTTAATTCGACCAAAGAATGTCATTATATTGGATCCCGAATTCTGTGATTGTATTGAATAACTTAAGAAAGATTATAAACTTGATCCGAAAAAGACCAGAAACAGTTAACAACTTTGGAAACGAATCAATCATTCTTCTTTACAAAAACTCGATGGGTTATCAAAGTTATCAATAGCTTCCTTAAGCAATCATTTCGAGCCTTGAATAAGGTTTGCAACATAACCCTTTTTCATATGCTAGATGACTACCTGATTGCTGCCGTGTTGATTTATAAATATTTTGGAAGATCACTCTTTGACAATGAAAACAAAGTAGAAATCATTATAAATTATGAAAGAGAGCCTTAAAAAAGAGAACTTACTAGGAAAATTAATTAAAAAAAAGAAGCTTCACATTAAAAGTGCCTATATAAAGTTGGAATCCCAAGATATTAAAGGTTTTCCAGTAGGTTCTTATCAGCTTAGGCAAAGCTTGAGTTATATATCAGAGCATCTTAACAAAGGAAAATATGAGTTAAGACTTGGAACAATCATTTCAACACAACTTTCTTAAATAATAAATGTAGATGTCTGGTCTAGGCACAGTAAAATACTACATACATTGAGTATTTGCCCAACATCAATGATCATATTGGCATCGATTCTTGGTATTGTACCTTTAAAACAGAAATGCGTACTGTCGGTTGTAGTCCTTTAAAAAAATCTTTCTATTATATAATTCAGCTAAAAGGTAATAATGATGAAGCAAAAACTAATTGGGTAGTCGAAATCTGTAGGATTTTACCAACTATATGAATAGATGGAAGCTCCCTAATAGATTGTTTTGGATTTGAGTATGAGTTTTTCCTTAAATATATAGCTGATTTACAATCTTATGAAGCCATGAATGAACGCAAAAACTGTAGAACTACTAAGAAGAAACTAATTATGAACATTTTTTTTGAATGGGATATAAGCAGTGTTGTTCTAAATATGTGAAATGCTATGCTCGGATTAAGGCTATGCTCGGATTAAAGGAAAGGCTATACTTGGATTAAGGGAGTATTATGACTCCTAAAAATCGCTTTTTTGAGAAACCTTTTTTTATTTGTAGAAACAGTCCAGCAATCAACTTTTACTGTTGATGACCTTCCTGATGAACTTTTCTAGAGAACAGAACAACCTATCGTTTTTTGTGCTGTACATTTTGTAAAAATAATCACTTTCCATCAATTTTCTAGCTAAACTCAATGTTGTACTTGATCAACGAACTTAATCCAACTCAATATGACTTGGCTATACCTCGCCACTCAGTTAACACAAGCTTCTACGTTTTAAGTAATTAAAAATGTAAAAAATTACTTTGAATTGAACTGGTTCCAAAGTATTGAAGAAGATATAATTTTTTAGATATATTAAGATAAAGAATTGTAAAAAAAATAAATAAAATTCAGCATAATTCTTATTGTTGTTTTTACTCTTCAATGTAAGCATATATTGACAAAAATGCATAAACTATGATAATAAAAGGAGGTTCAGATTGTCTTTTATGAATCTCAATATATCTTTTTTTTATTATTAATCAGCGTCTCTTAAAAAACCATTTAGAAGTTTTAGGATCTTGCTTGGCAATAACAGGGTTGGAGAGGATTAAGTTAATTCATCATCATCATCATCATCATCATCATCATCATCATCATCATCATCATCATCATCATCATCATCATCATCATTATCATCGTCAGCATCATTATCATCATCATCATTTTTTAATTTATTAACACTTACTTTTTTTTTTTTTGTATTATTATTGCTTAGGAACCAGAGTTAATTGAAAGAACCTTATTAGAAGATAAAACTGCTTCTGAAAAAGAGCGTTCTGCTGGCCTTCCCAATTTGTCTGCAAAACTCAAAAAGAACTGGGAGCCTTCAGTTGGTTTATCCACTAAGATAAATATGGTAATAACTTAATAACTTCAACTTTTATTAAAAAAAAATTTTCTTCATATCTAAGTGCTAGTGACCTACAATGTCAATTTTTTTAAATAATAATGATTTTCTTGGTTTGAAAAAGAAGTTAAGCTTGGTTCAGAAGTACTTATACAGTTATTTTGCTACTAAACTGATGAAACATTTTTCAACAAATGATGTTTACTTGTAATTAAAAAAATTTTTATTTTTATTTTTTATTTATTTATTTATTTATTTTTAATTTTTTTTTCCACCACTAATTAGTGTTGGAAGTTACTGGAAGAGAAAAGATGAAGATTGTAGAGCAAGATAACGATTGACAGATGACTTAAAAGATTGCAAATTATATGAATCAGGAAAGCAAAATGAAGGAAGCGAATTCCAAAGAACTGATGTTCGAGGAAAAAAACTATTTGAATAAGAGTTTTTAGAGAACTTAGGAACAGTAACAGAAAAAGGATGAGACTTAATTGAATGACGAGTAACACGAGAATGAATTTTTTGTATATGGCACAAGAGACGCTAGCTCTTTAGAGCAGTGACCATTATAGTATTTGTAGAAAAGAGAAAGAGAAGCAACATTACGATGATGTGACAGAGGTTGAAGGTTGGCTGCAAGAGTAGGTCCAACTATGTTTACAATGCGTTTTTGCACCTTGTCTAAAAGAGAAAGGGCATCATTAGAAGATCCCAGATATGGCAACAGTATTCCATACAATGCCGGATTTGAGATTTATAGAGATAGAAAATAGAATCCAGAGTAAGAAAGTGATGAGCTCGATAAAGAGAAGCGACTTTAGCAGATGCTAATTTTGCAATGGATTTGATATAAAGTTTCCAAGAAAAATCAGAAGTAAGAGTTAATCCTAGAAGATGAAGGGTAGGAGACTCATTGAGTACATTACCGTTCATAAATATAGGAAGGTCTAAATTATTGCGATAACGATTGGCTGAAAAAAATTGAGTTTTATCTGAATTAAAGTTCACCAGCCACTGTGAGCCCCATGCTGTTATTTTATTATAAACAAGAATTATCTTTTTCAGGATAATTTTCTCAATTTTTAGTTTTTGCCGGATATCTAAAATGTTTTCCATACATACAAGTTTAGGTGTATATTTTTGTAATATATTTTCTTTTTAAGCTTTTTCACTCATCACTCATTCAAAAATTATAACAAGCTTGGAAAAAAATTTAAAACAACTCAGCTAAAAAAAATATAATAAGGGAAAATATATTCCTGATATTTTATCCTAACAATTTTCCGGATTTTTAAAATATGACGTGATTGATCTATGATAAAGAACACATTAAGATGCGAGCTGCAGATATTTTTTGAAAATGTTGTTTTTTGAACCTCCCTACCTTAGGGTTCTACCTAAAAGTATATTTTTTAATCTTTAAATTTCTTGCAATTTAAAAAACTGATAAAAATAAAAACTTTCTAACTTCTTGGGTGATTGCAGGAATAATTAGATAATTTTGATTACAAGTTTTGTTAAGCGATCAACTGTTGATAATTTTTTATTGTCTATATTATTTACATTTATCTATTTGATATATAAAAGTTCAAAAAAAAAAAAACAATTTTAATTTATTACTTTTACTTGTTTTTATGTTTACTTGTTATTACTTACATGTTATTATTTTTACTTATTTATGTATAGAAATAAAATTAAAATATTTTTAAGATTAAGTTGACAACATTATTAAACATGATTCCATATGCAGATAAGTAAGAGATTTATAGAAGTAAAGAGGGGAATCATGAGTGAGAAAATGGTGAGCACAATAAACAAAGGAAAACTTAACAGATTCTAACATTGCAATGAATTGTATTTATGGTTTCCATTTTATTTCTTCTTAGATTATTATTCAGTAGTGAATAATAATCTAAGAAGAAATAAAATAGAGGACTCAATAAGAGTGGTGTCATCCATCATTAAAAGAGTATCAACAATATTGCAACAGTTATTATCAGTAAACAACTGATTTTGATTTAGGCTAAAATTCACCAGCTACTGCAAGCCACAACAAGCTGTCACAGAAGAGATCACATCAAGATTAAGTGTCTTATCTAAGCCATCTATCTTATCTAAGCTATCAAAAAGTGATGATTTTTTGTCAAAACTGGAGTATATAGTTGTCATCAGCAAATAAAGAAACTTTAGGAATTATTAAGAAGATTGTTAATATAGATAAGGAACAAGTAACCATTGATGGAATCTTGTGTTACCCCAGAAGTTACTGGAAATCAAGAAGAGTTGTGTCTGCCTAATACAAATCTAATACTGTTAGAAAGGAATGATTCAATAATTTAGAAAATTTTTTCAGTTACATCACATGTAAGGAGCTTTTAAAGAAGAATAACACACCAGAATTTCAAAAATTATACTTGTGTTTATAAATTTTTAAAGTTATTTTTGTTTATTTTAAAAAAATTTGGGTGTTTTCTTTTAGTTTGATAAAAATTAGATTTTATTCATTAATTTTATTTATGTCATGTGGTTTATATTGCTGCATATTATGAATAATAATAAAAAAAATACTTCTAAACAATATTAACAATTTTTTAATGAATGAATTCTAAACAAAAACAATGACTGATTAACGTAACTTCAAAACAATATCTAGTTTTAGTTGAAAATTTTTATCTTTTTTAATTTATTCTTAGGAAATGTTTTCAATCACTCCATTTGTTTTAATGATTCCTTCAGGACCAAATATTCCACATCAATCGTCTAAACGCAGTAGATTTTGGTATAATCAGCTATCCAGTTTTGCGAAACCAATATCAATTAATGCTCCTGCTTATAAAACACCAGATGGTTATATTGTAAAGCACTACTTGGAACATTGTATTAGTGTGATTCGTACCAAAATAACTAGCGTATGTTTATTTTGTGTTTAACATCTTATTGCTTATTTATAGGCTTAAACAGAAAAAAAAAAAAAACAAAGTGCTATAGGTGCTTTATTTAAATTAGTAATTTTTTATATGCAAGAATACTATTAGACATTTGGAGAATATTAGACATTTTGTCTTCTTATGGATTATAATTTTTGTTTGATAGTTAAAAAGGTTTCACTTTATGTTTTTTGCTTATTAAAGTTTTAAGTTGTTTATCTAATTTAATGCTTTATCTAGTTAAATATTAAATAATTATAAGTTACATTATTATAAATTTTATATGCAAAGCTAGCCATGTGCTGCTTGCAAGCAACTTGCTGAAAAGGTTGCAGTATTAAGATTATTAAATATGTTGGTAAAATTTTTTGGGTTTGATGTAAAGAAGTGTCAGGTGTTGATGTTTTATTAAAGAGGTCTGATCAAATAAATTCTAAAGGAAAACTCTTTTTATAATTTTTAGATGCTATGCGATGTTAAGCAAGGCTACTTCCAGTAAGCACAATACAAGTTCAACACGCCTAAAATATGCATTTATACGTTTATTAGATGTGTTAAATGCGTGTTGTGCTTAATGGGCTGTTCCTTCTAATGTATTATTATTAATTGACTGAGATGTTCAAGACTTTATTGTAATTAATAATCCTATGATATTTTAATACTGAACTTGCTGCTGGTGCTGCCATTACTCATTTGTGCATGTTTGCACAGAACTCACGGCAGCCATTACACCTGAGTTAATGGCGGGAAAGATTTGCAGCACTTTTTTTTATAAGAAAATATGAACGATAGTGTATGCAAATATTTAATATATATAAACTTCAAATTATGTAATGTTAAAACATTTATCAAGTTTTACATTTTTACTTTTACTTAAAAATTGTATTGCGGCAAAACATCTCCTTATTTTTGATTTATAGCATATTTGATTTATAACTTGCTGTTTTATTAAGTTTTTTGTTTATTAAGTAATGTTAAAACATTCATTAAACAATACACCTTAGTAGCCAAAATGGTTTGGATGCAGCATTTCTGAAGTGAATTTTTAATCCTTATGCTTCTCTTATTTTCTTTTCTTTTTTTTAATCTTTGTTGATTTTTTAAAATACAAAATAAAATATTTTTGAAGCTCTAAAGATATTATTTTTATAAAGTTTTTTTATTTAAAAATTGCAATGCGGCAAATTCTCCTTAACTTTGATTTATAGCATTTATTTGTTGTTTTATTAAGTTATTCCATCTTTTGTTTATTAAATAGTATTAGTTATTGGCAGAGTATTGAACCTAGTGGTCGAAGTGGTTAACTAGCTTCATACAGATTGTAATTAATCAACACATTTCAAGGGGGTGTTCTAAATATTGTTTAGATTTGTTAATATTATAAATATTCTAAATATTGTTTAGATCTATACACTGATCTTTTCTATACTTTTTCCTTATATATATATATCCAAGCATTCCAGACAGATTTTTATAGCAAAAAAAATATATAAAGCAAAAAAAGCTTCTAATTGTTAAAATAAACTTTAAAGTTTTTTCATTATATACATGTTATAGGCAAATGTTCCGATGCTGTTACTTCTATTTGTTAAAATAAAATTTTTTCAAGCTGCAGACTTTTTTTTTTTTTTTTTTGCCTCCATAGCAGCAAACAGCACCTTCTGGAGTAGCAGGACTGTCTTTCTTTATTAAGTTTCATGCAATAATTTTATTTCAGACCATTTGCAGCTTATTAGGACTAATTATTTAAACTCATTAATGACATAAGAATTTCTATCACGGCATATGTGCAACAAATATCTCCCAGTATTTTGATGTTTATATTAATTTTAAGCTTTTTAAAAAATTCTCTCACTTTTGTTTGTTGCTGCATCTATACATATCTATACATATGTTAGGTATATATCTATAAGACTTCAAAAGTGTTTTACTTTGTATTTAAAAAAGATCAAAATAAAATAAAAAGAGACGCCAATGGTAGGGCTTGAACAACTGCTCTCTGCGAGCTAACCACTCGGCCATGCAGGTGTGTTGTCTGAAATCAATTATAAAACTACTTAACATACGAAAGATTTTATAAAACTGAGAAAAATGCTATAGATCAAAAATAAAGAGATGCTGCCGCAATGCAGTTTTCAAGTGATATTAAAACTGTAAAACTTGATATAACTTGTTATATGTTTTAGTATGTTTTAACATTATGTAATTTGAAGTTTAGATAAGTTTGATATTTGCATACACTCTCATGTATGCAAATATATAACAGACATTTTTTTATAAAAAAAAGTGCTGCAACTCTTTCTTGCCATTACCTTGGTTGCAATGGCTTAATACTATAATCTAAAACAAAATGTTCTTTTAACAAAAGTTAAAACACTATAATTCAAACAATAAAAATATAAATGCTATAAAACAAAAGTAATAACATTTTAAATGAGTCAGATTATTTTTGTTCTTAAAAGACTTCAGTCTACAGTTTTTTTCAATTGCAGATTTTTTAGGTTTATTAAGTAGCTTTGAGTTGAATTATCTATCTATCAATCTATCTATCTATCATCTATCTATCTATCTATCTATCTATCTATCTATATATATATATATATATATATATATATATATATATATATATATATATATATATATATATATATATATATATATATATATATATATATATATATATATATATATATATATATATATATATATATATATATATATATATATATATATATATATATATATATAAATTAACCTTAAAAAATAAAATATTCAAAGAATAATAAAATAAATAAAGGGAAAAACCAGAAAAAAAAATCAAAACATTTATTAATTAATGTAAACTTAATTATAAGCAAAAGTGAAAAAAAATTATCACAGCTCTAATATTCTTTATCATTCCTTCCCATGAATAATTATGCTAATACAAAGGTGAATCCATTGTGAGGAAAAAGGGTCCGCCTCCGTTTTGTATTTATTTTTTTAGAAATTGATGTTTAAAAATGTAACTTAGGCTGTTTAAAAGTGCCATGAAATTTAATAAAATGTTGTGGTGCAAGTTTAAAATTTTATTAAAAAATTAATATGATAGAGGGTGCGACAAATTGACAAATGTGCGCGCATTTTTTAAAAGACAGACAGAACAAACATCATGTTTCTTTAATTTTGCTTATGCAAACGTTGCCGTTTGATTAGGATTTTTCAAAACGAACATATTACTTCAGCAATTTTTTTCAAAATAATTTTGCTTTTCATTATCATAATTATTTCAAAATAATTTTGCATTCATTATCATAATAAGTTTCATAATTATTGCCAATCATTAGTTTTTTATTTATTATAAAAAACACATATTTAATATGAAAAACAATTAATTTCACGGACTTAAATTAATGCCAAAACATAAGTACTTTTTTCAATAGCGTCACTTTTAAGTAAAATAACTAAATACGTTATAGAAAAAAATAATTATGGTTTAGCATGGTTTTTGCATGCGCTCACAAAAGCACACATAATTTTATTTAAATCGAATGCTTTTGCAAAAACATTAAAAGAAACCATGCTCAAACATTTCGATTGCTTTCTTTTATTGAGATAAGCGATAATAACGTTTAACAATGGTTTTTTTTATGTTTTTAGCAATTACATTAAAAGTTTTAAGCAAATCTATTCATTATAAATAAATTTAGCATGCTTTATTTAAAAAATTTTTATTTTCCATAAAGTGAAATAATGTTTGTTTGCATATTAAAACTTTTGCACTTTTAAAAGTTTTTTTATTGTGCATTTGTTTTCGCGCACTTTGCAAATGTATAAAAAAAAGGATTTTGAAAAATAAAAATTGAATAAATTTACCAAGCATTATTTAATAACATATTTAATAACTTATTAACTAGAATAAAAATTATTTGAATTTTATTTGACATAAATCTTTGAAATAAATAAAGATACACAAGTCAACGTTCATTAAAAAGAAAAAAAACGATATATCACACCCTGGGATAAAAAATAGTTGGCAGATGCGGTTGTTTCAAGATTATTGTTATTCCTTTTTTTTTTTTGTAAATAATTTCTTAATTAGAAATTATATTTCCATGATAAAATGATTTTAAATTATTTTTTGATAGCTTCTGTACTCATTTTGCCTTAAACTTTAATCTGAATATTTTTTTCAATGATTGCCTTTAATTAAGTTGCATTAAAGTACTCAGGAAATTTTGTGGGAGTTTAATTGTACTTATGGATTAATTAAATTTAAAATCGCATTTATTATTTTTTTTGCGCATTTTTTAAATGCGTTAATTATCAAAACTTGCAAAGAGCTGTGGTCAAGTTGTTAAAACTAAGAACTATATGCGTGGTCATATAAGGCAAGCGATCGCACGTCTCTTAAGAGATGGCCTGTATATATATATATATATATATATATATATATATATATATATATATATATATATATATATATATATATGTATATATATATATATATATATATATATATATATACATATACATATACATATACATATACATACATATATATATATATATATATATATATATATATATATATATATATATATATATATTTTATATATATATATATATATATATATATATATATATATATATATATATATATATATATATATATATATATATATAATAAACAAATTGTCTAAAATGTTTTAAATATGAATAATATTAATTTTATAGTGTCGTCATAAATATCCAGAGCATCCTATTATTTTAGCTGGTTGGGGTGTTGGCTCCTTGATTGCTCTTAAGGTTTGTTATTATTCTTGTTATATTAATTACTATTAAATTTAGATTTTGTTAGAATAAAGATTTTTCCACATTGATCATGTAAAACAAACATGTATTATAAACAGCCTTGGCTTTAACCAGAGTAATATTGCTTTGTTTTTTTATAATAATAATAATAATTATTTTTATTCTTGTTATTATTATTTATATTATTATTTTATAATCAAGAGACACAAAAATTTCCTCATATTGAGATTGAGGTCTTTGTAATATTAGAAATTAAAAGAGGAATAATATCTTTAAATATTAAAAAATATAAAGAACATTATTTACAAATAAATGATAAATTTTTATTTAGTTTCTGCAAGTTATGTATTTTTATTTTGCTTTGGATAAATGAAAATAATGAAAAATGGGAAAACATGAAGTTAAATTTAAATGTTGATATACTTTTCTAAACAAATTTTAAGTTGAATAACAAAATGATTTGAATGATGGAAATATTGGAATACTTAAAGCACTTAATGAGTATTTAAAAACTTAAAGCACTTAATGAGTATTTAAAAGTTTTTTATTTCAAGTTGTTGTTATTATTGAATTATTAAACAATGAATAGTTTAAAAATAAAGTAGTATTTTTATTTGTCAGTTCGAATTTTTTGTTTGGTGGTTAAATGACTGTAAGTCTTTTAACCACCATAATTAGGTACCATGCTTTTACTGTTGTAATTTAAATATTTATTTTTATTATGTAAATAAAAATATCTTAAAAGTACCTTAAACCAATATCTTTTTAGTGTATCATTAATATATTAGAGTTTAATGAAAAATATCTTAAATATACATTAAACAAATATCTTTTTAGTGTGTTGTTAGTATATTAGAGAGTATACTGCTGTTGTGTTTATAAAAATAAATGACTTATTTTTTTGTTTTTGTTTTTATTATTGTTATTATTATTTTACATTATTATTGTTATTGTTGTTTTTTTCTCATTATTGTGATTCTTATTTTTATTATTATACATAATTTTTATTAATTAATAATTAATAAATGGGAAAAGTAAAAATTTTGGACACATGATTTTAGAAGTTATTATTATTATTGTGATTAATATATAAATATAATTTTTAGAAGTTTCGTTTTCATTAAACTCTAATATACTAACAACACACTAAAAAGATATTTGTTTAATGTATATTTAAGATATTTTTTATTAAACTCTAATATATTAATGATACACTAAAAAGATATTTGTTTAAGGTATTTTTAAGATAGTTTTATTAACATAATAAAAATAAATATTTAAATTACAACAGTAAAAGCATGGTAAATATATAAATTTTCAATATAAATTTCAAGAATTTAACAAAAGAGCAAAGCAAATAAATCATCAAATGACTGAGAATAACATCCTTTCGGTAAACCTTTGCTAAGCATTTTTTGGCTAAGTAATTTTGTTAAAATAGATTTATGTCTGGCTTGAAATCTATATGCGAAATATAAAGCTTCAGAAACTAATAATTAACTAAATTACTCATTGCAAGTTTTATATGTGTTTTCTAACTCATTGCAAGTTTTATATGTGTTTAATAACTCATTGCAAGTTTTATATGTGTTTTTTTATGTTTTTATGTCTCAGAGTTTTTTTTTTTTTGTTTTTTGTTTTTTTTGAAAAGTTTTTATTTCTAGTATTGCACAAATCGTAAAAACTTGTTTTTAATAATGAATTAAAGCAAATAAATAAGCATGGACAGTTACAAAAACTTCTATAAAGAAGCTTTTTAAAAGAAGTAAGCATAACTATTATGAGATTAAAACTTTATTTTTGATTTATTTCAATCACATTTTTATCAATTTTTCTGTTTTTAAAAAGATTTAGTTATTTTTTTTAATAAGAAAAGTTTACGAAATTAAAAAATACCTAAAATGGTAAAGGGTCATTTTCTAAATAACGGTTGACAAGTCAAGTGATTGCGGTAAGTCAAACAAAGTTGTTATATCTTTAAAACTCAATCAGAACATACAGATGAATTGCTAGTAACTATTTCTGGTCAGACTAAAGTCAATGAATGTAGAAATTGCAAAGCATTTTTTAAATAAAAGTTGTGATAAATTTGCTAAATTTATTTTTTTAATTTTTATGGTAATTCACCTCCCCAAGACCACTACAGATGAGGATGCTGCCTTATTGTGGTTATAACCCCCCTCTCAACTCTATAACTCCGAAATACCAACCTTGACAAAAAAGGCCGCTGTGAGAAGAAACAAGTTAAGCGCGGTACTACCAGGGACATGGTGGAAAATTGAACAACTGGTAGTAGTAGACCTCTCGCTTATGAAGCGAGTGCTCTACAACTGCATCACTTCCGCGTTGAGAAAATTTGATGTTTTGATGGGAAAAGAGAGCTGATGCTAAGGCATACAAATCCAAATCTGAATTAACTAAATTAGCTGGAGGTTTTTAATGATTTATTTTAAATGATGTAAATACATAAAATTGCTATCACAATTTTTCATCAAAGTATTTAATCAACAAAAAAGGTTTGTTGCAATTTAAAATTTAGCAATCACTTCAAAAAAGCACTTGCAAAAGTATTTGCAGATGTGTGGGCAAGCATAAATGGGTGCAAGCACAAAAGCATTGGCCAAACTGAGAAGATTGGATATCAGGAGAGATTTAGTGATGTTGAATTATTATTTAAAGGAATCATGATCGCTCAGGTTTGTATGCCTATTAAAATATCAAGTTTGAAGAAACATTTTCTTAAAAAATAGATTCTTCTCAAATTAAAATAAGTTCTTCTAATAAATGAATCTTCTAATAACCATGCCAACCAAGGTTGCTCCACTGAGAAACATATTGAGCAATGAAAATTAAAGTTCATATGGGCGATTCCATTTTTAATTTACGTTACACATTCAACAACTTTAACAAATATTTGCCTATTTAAACTGTAAATTAAACTTTTAGTTGTTTTGTATGAAAGCTGTTGGTCTAAAAAATAAAATAAGCTAAAAAGTTTTGAGTCTGGCCAAAAGAAGGCGAACTTATTACTAAAAATGCCACTTAACTTAAAAAACAAACAAACTTAAATTTGTTTTTTTCATACTATATATTTAACTTATGTTACCGGTCGATTATTATTGTGGATTTTTTATATCTATTATGAAGAGTTAGACTTGTTAGAGTTACATAACAAAAAAAAATTGCAAAAGTATTGAACTCATTCATTAAAAGTAATTAACAAAGACAATTTTTAAAAACTGGTGGCACTCCTCCTGAGCAAATTTTTATAAAATTAATGACAGTTTTCAAAATATAACATATAAGTAGATAACAGTTTTTTTCATATAAATAGATAACAGTTTTTTCTACAAGACCAAGAGCAACATTAAAAAATTACTTTAGTTTAGCAATTTCATTAATACTTATTAAGTCATTTAGATAAGGAAATCTTTTGTTTGTAGAAGTTTTTCTTAATTTTCTTACGTTTATGTGTACTTTATGGATAACCACCCTTAATTGCATTTACAAACAATTTGTTTTACTAAAACAAAAATAATAATTATTACTTAATGGTGTAATTATTTTGTAAGTAACTAAAATTTAATGAAACAGCACCAGAACTTTTGTAAATGCATATAGTTACACAAATTTAAAATAAAAATATGCTTTAACTAGACGTAAACATTTAATATTATTTCGCATATATTATAAAAACTTAAATTTTTTAACTAAATTTTAGAAAAAACAAAACTTTATCATGTTTTTGTTAACTTAGGTTACTTGAAAATTGCAAAAGTTCTTTTGTTATTTTCTTGAAATATATATATATTTTATTAAGTATAAAATCTGACCAATATCAATTTGAGCGTGTTAACTCCATTTTCATGCTAAATTAATTCGGATTATGCAAATAAATTTATGGTTAAAATAACATTTTACAATGATTTTTTTTTATCATGCGACAATGAAAAAAATGAAAAATTCTGAAGCATAAAAATGACTGAAATAAATTTATTTTAGTACCAAAGGTATATTTTAAATAAACTTTAATGTGTCTACATCAATATTTTGCTAATAGTTGACAAAAAAGAGAATAAAATTTGACTGCTTTTTCATTTTCTGCTGTGGAATCGTCCATATGCTTATGAAAATAATACTCAACTCAAATTGCTATCACAGATCATTTGTTATATGCTTGTTTACTGTTTTCCCAAGACTGCTCTATTTTTGATATTATTTTTGATGAAAACTGTTCTCTGTTTTATTACTTTGCTGTCGATATTTTTTAAAAGTTTTAATGCTTATTATATTGGATGGCTTTACTTTAGTACTAGTGATCTTTCTGACACTAACTCCAAAAAGTTTTATCTTTTACCCTGGTAGATAGCTTCTTTTTATTCCAGACACTATAATTACTTAATTTATCACTCTAATCACTCTAATCACGTGTCATGTCTCTGTTTCATTTAATGCTTGAGATCCTAACAACATTGCTGTCGCAGTTTTATAAAATATTTTTGCCAGAATTCTTTTCTGTATTCTTGAAACTATTTAGCAAATGCTTTTCTGAATCTTATTTTTCTGCTTGCTGGAAAGCATCATTTGAGATTCCTATATTTAGAAACTTCATAGACCATTTTGATCCTTCCAACTATCTTCCTATTAGTCTTTATACTATTTTTAAACTTTGAATTTCAATCAGCATATTTTTGATATCTCACTAAACTCTTGATATCTCACTATAAATTACTTTCAGTTTTAGTTCTTATTCTATTATTGAGTGCATTAGAGAACAACATAAAAAAAAAGCACATCAATGGCATTTTAAAAAATCCAGTAAGCTGTTCTTCTTCATAAGCTCTGTTGATATGATGTGCCTGGAAAGCATTTCCAAATATGTTTTTTAGCATAATCTTTTATGGACACTGTTCTTCTTTATTTCCAGTAGCTTCTGGGTATCACAGTATACCACAAGGTTGCTATGTAGTATAAAAAGTCTTGCTCTGTCTCAAGACTTCTGAGATAAAATCTTTGTTTATTTATGTAGTTTTTTTTTTTTTTTTAATTATATTTCACATTTTCTGAAGATTTACTTTAAAACGTGATCCAAAAGAAAGTGTAAGAAGTCACTGCAATATTATCTATTCTAAAGAAGCACATCAATTTGATTATTGCAGTATAGAAGATTGTAAAGAAAACAATATTAAATATTCTAGGGTACTGAAAAAGTTTAAAAAGATTTTATTTACTGATTATTTTTGATGATCTTTTATAGATTTTCTATAAAAAGAAATTTTTATTATTTATTTTCTTAAAAATTTTAAAAAGATTTTCGATAAAAAAAAGGTACGCAAATAATATTAATATTAAGTTTATTATTAAATTATATTTTAAGAATATTTCTTTCACACAAGCATAGAAATAATTTAAATGATCTAGATCATTTTTAAACAGTTTGAAAGATGATTTTTAAAACTGAAAGCACTATTACATTAATGCAAATCTGCTTTTGCAAGAAGTTAAATTTGTCTTTGTGAAAAAATAATTTGTTCTTTTGAACTTGAGTTCCAAAGAACAATTAAGTTAATGACTTCTTCTCATTCATCAAACTTTTACATCCATTTTTATATAATTTCACTGTTATTAAAAACTTTTTTCTTTTCATTATTGTTTAGGTAGCCCTGCTTAATAAAGTTGATGCTGTTATCTGTCTTGGATTTCCTGGTAAACAATTTAGTAATAAAGAAAAAGAAATTGGAAAAGAGGTGGTTAAACTTTTTAAAGTTATGTTAAAAATTAATTTTTTTAATTTTTTTTTGGCAGACAGTGAAATGACGCACCTAAAACTCTGTTATCATTTAGTTATCAGCCATTTTGGTTCTTTTTGTAAAAAAGTAAATCTTGAAAATGTGGTTAAGTCTAATTTAATTATTAACTGACTTGAGAGTTTTTTAAGGATTAAACTTTTAAATTAAACAAAATCTCCTTTATTTACAGAATTTTGGGTGCTTCATTTTAATGTTTTTTATAATATACATATTATTCATAAAATGAAGAGGTTAAAGTTATTTTTATTACTTTTATATAAATACATTAATGATATCATGAGTATTCATCAGTATTTAATGATATCATGAGTGTAAATGCATTAAAGTTTTTAAATGCATTTACAGTATTTCTAAACTGTGCTCATTCATAATTAGTTGTTTAAACTATGTTGTGATTGATAATTTGTTGTTTTAATTATGTTGTCATTTGTAGTCAGTTATTTAAACTATGTTGTCACTCATAATTAGTTTTTTAAACTGCTAAATTATAGTGCGTCTTGTTGTTTGAATTTTTATCTCATTACAATCTTTAATTTCTTTATTATGATTGTTTAAACTAGCAAACATTATTTACATATCCTAAAAAGTGTCAAAAATCAAGGAGAGAAACAAGAAAAAAGTTATAATACTCATAGATCTATTTAACTCATTTTAAAGCCAACTACCTACAAATCAACTGCAACTTGTTTTCAACTTGCAAACCTGTTTTCTTTGGTATTAAATCAACTGCAACTTAATGTTTTCTTTGGTATTAAATCAACAAAGTTGAACGAGGATTTAGCAGCAATAAAAGTCTGACCGATGACAATATGTCCCCAGACACTATCATCTCTTTATGTTCAATCAAAGATTACCTCACATTTCATGGGTTCATGCCTCATGAAGTTGAAAAAGATTTATTAGATTACTGCAAACAAGCAAGAAAGAAGTATTTTGATGATCAACATTCAAAAGCCCTGTCTGTAGAAAACACACTGAAAATGGAAGCAAAAACAAAAATTATAGAAGATATTGAAATTGTTAATACTGAAATTCGACGGATATTATCTATAATTAGGAATATAAAGAAGTCATCTGATGAAATTGGATTCCGTGCAGAAAACACCTTATGTTTATACCTTAAATGTTTTTTTAGTTTATATCACTAAATGTAGTATCATTATTTAATGATTCCTTTTCTATTTAGATAAGATTAAAACTGAAAAATGTATATATATTTTTACAATAGTTTATCTATTTGTATTTCAAGGTCAGGTCAGGTTTTCCTGCTACTGGTAACATGTAACCCAGTACAACCTGCTCCATGTCCTGCTGCCTTGTATGATACGCTTTTTTAGGCAAAGGCTAGGAGAAGTTAACTCCGAATTAAAACATCCCCTGCCTCGGGGCTCTTGGTTGAGTAAAGGCTAGAGATGGTGTCTCGATAAAAATACTCAACTTGGGCAGATGTTACATGCATCCAGCTGCTGTCTTGTAGAAGGCCTCTTAGGCAAAGACTTAAGGGGTAAACAGATTCTATCTGTTGACCAGCCTCGCACCCCTTCCTCATCTATTAGGCTGGCGCAGATGTATTTTTAATACATTGTTTCCAGTTTAGGATGTTGAACGCTGGATCTTCTTGACTCAATGCGTGGGTATTGCTTGTGTCTCTATTTTTATGACTGGGCAACTCATTCTATTATCTCCTAATGAGGGTACAGCTCTAAAACTTAGTTTTATGGTTCTGAGGCCGGCTGGTAGTCAGGTTTCCCGAACTCTGTGGTAGCTCTCAGAGAGGCTGATTCCATCAACAGCCGAAAAATATCAGAGTACTAACAGTGCCATGTTGCGCATGGATGGTGTCCCTGTTTGTACTTTTGGTGTGCATTGCAGAGGCCACATTTGGAGCCCTTTGTTACGGCTTAGGGTTTATTAATAGTAATGAGGCTATTGCTTAGTTGTTAAATAGTGTACTGAGTACTATCTATACTTGAGTCAAGTTCTTTATAAATTTAAAATGACTAAAGTACCTAAAACTAAAAAACACAAAAAACCATCGTCATCACCAAGTTCTCTAAACCTATCATTTACTAATATTCGTGGTCTTCGAAGTAACTTTTCTTCTGTTGAGTCTTATCTCTTGCAAAGTTCACCAGACCTACTTGCTCTTTGTGAGACTAATTTGAGTTCGGCTGTCCCATCTTGTGATCTTAGTGTTGATGGTTATCTTCCTTTAATTCGTAAAGACTCCAATAATCACATGCTTGGCCTGGGCATCTACATTCGTAAGAACTCACCCATTTGTCGTGAAACTAGGTTTGAATCTACAGACTATTCATTTATGTGCTTTCGTTTAGCACAACTTCACTCTATCGCCTTTCTCTTTGTTCTATATCGCTCTCCTTCATCCCAAGATTGCACTATTCTTGATGTTATTTCTGATCAAATTGACCAAGCCCTCTCTCTTTATCCATTGGCCAATATCGTCGTTGTTGGTGACTTTAATGCCCATCACACCAATTGGCTTGGCTCTAGTGTCAGTGACTCTGCTGGCGTTAAGGCCCTCAACTTTTGCCTTTCTCAATCTCTAACTCAAATAGTCAACTTTCCAACTCGTTTTCCAGACAACCCTAATCATTTACCTTCTCTACTCGACTTATGTCTTGTTTTGGATCCTAGTCAGTGCTCAATTTCTCCACATTCACCCTTAGGTACTTCTGATCACGGTTTGATCTCTCTAAAACTATTATCAAATTCTTCTACTTCATCAGAATCCCCCTATCATCGTATCACATACAACTACCTTAAAGCTGACTGGGACTCTTTCCGTGATTTTCTTCGTGATGGCCCTTGGGTAGAAATCTTTCGTCTTCCTGCTGACAAATGTGCTTCTTACATAACTTCGTGGATTCAGGCTGGCATGGAATCTTTTATTCCCTCTCGACGATTCCAGGTCAAGCCTCACTCTTCTCCTTGGTTTTCCTCATATTGCGCTGCAGCAATTTCTAATCGAAACCGTTACTTCCATATCTATCAGCAAAACAATTCTCCAGAAAACAGACATCTGTTCACTATCGCCAGAAACCATTGTAAAAAGGTTTTGTCTGACGCCAAAGCTCGCTATTCCCAGGTCATTAAATCTCGTATCTCATCACAAAAATTAGGCTCTCGAGACTTCTGGAGAATCTTTAACAGTATCAATAATAAGGGCAAATCTGTTATTCCTTCTCTCTTGTATGGTTCAGACTTTGTCACCTCACCTAAAGACAAAGCTGAATTGTTTGCTAAGAACTTTTCATCAATATCATCTCTTGATTCCACTAGTTGCGTTTTACCTGACATAGCCGTCAAACAGGTTGATCTCTTGCTTGACATTCGCATCACTTCAGCTTCTGTATCTAAAGTAATTTCCTGCTTAGACTCTTCAACAGCTTGTGGTCCTGACAACATTCCTGTTGTAGTCTTGCAGAGGTGTTCTCCGGAGCTTTCATCCATACTTTCTAAACTATTTAACAAGTGCTTATCAGAGTCTTGTTTTCCATCATTCTGGAAAGCAGCATCTGTTATCCCTATTTTCAAAAATTCTGGAGAGCGATCTGATTCATCTAACTACCGTCCCATTAGTCTTCTTCCTGTCATAAGCAAGGTTTTTGAATCTTTAATCAACAAACACTTAATCTCTCATCTTGAATCAAATAACTTACTTTCTGATCATCAATATGGATTTCGGTCTTCTCGTTCTACAGCTGATGTGCTAACAGTAATAACCGATAGGTTTTACCGTGCATTAGATAGAGGTGGAGAGGTTAAGGCTATCGCACTTGACATTTCTAAAGCTTTTGATAAAGTTTGGCATGCTGGTCTTCTCCATAAGCTTTCTTCTTATGGTGTAGCTGGTAACGTCTTTAAGATTATTGAGTCCTTTCTTTCCAATCGTAGTATAAAAGTTGTCCTCGATGGACAACACTCTTCTTCACATCCTGTAACTTCAGGGGTTCCTCAAGGTTCAATCCTTGGCCCTATACTCTTTTTAATTTACATTAACGATCTTCCAGATATTCTCACATCTAAGGTGGCATTATTCGCTGACGACACTACCATTTACTCTTGTCATGATAAGAAGCCTACACTCTCTGATTGCTTGGAGGGGGTATCTGAGCTCGAAAAGGATCTCACTTCTGCTACAGCTTGGGGCTCACAGTGGCTGGTGAACTTTAATTCAGATAAAACTCAATTTTATTCGGCCAATCGTTATCGTAATAATTTAGATCTTCCTATATTTATGAATGGTAATGTACTAGATGAGTCATCTACCATTCATCTTCTAGGATTAACTCTTACTTCTGATCTTTCTTTTAAACCGTATATCAAATCCATTGCAAAATTAGCATCTGCTAAGGTTGCATCTCTTTATCGAGCTCGACACTTTCTTACTCCAGATTCTATTCTCTATCTCTATAAATCTCAAATCCGTCCCTGTATGGAATACTGTTGCCACATCTGGGGCGGATCTTCTAATGATGCTCTTTCTCTTTTAGACAAGGTGCAAAAACGAATTGTAAACATAGTTGGACCTGCTCTGGCAGCCAATCTCCAACTTTTGTCACATCGTCATAATGTTGCTTCTCTTTCTCTTTTCTACAAATACTTTAATGGGCACTGCTCTAAAGAGCTAGCGTCCCTTGTGCCATCTACTAAAATTCATTCTCGTGTTACTCGCCATTCAATTAAGTCTCATCCTTTTTCTGTGACTGTTCCTAAGTGCTTCAAAAACTCTTATTCTTCTAGTTTTTTTCCTCGAACATCAGTTTTTTGGAATTCGCTTCCTTCATCTTGCTTTCCTGATTCATATAATTTGCAATCTTTTAAGTCATCAGTCAATCGTTATCTTGCTCTACAGATTTAGTCTTCTCTCTTCCAGTAACTTCCAACTCTTATAGTGGTTGCTTGCAGCCTTGTTGGAAGTTAAAAAAAAAAAAAAAAAAAAAAAAGCTGCAACTTAATGTTTTCTTTGGTATTAAATCAACTGCAACTTAATGTTTTCTTTGGTATTAACTCAACTGCAACTTAATGTTTTCTTTGGTATTAAATCAACTGCAACTTAATGTTTTCTTTGGTATTAAATCAACTGCAACTTAATGTTTTCTTTGGTATTAAATCAACTGCAACTTAATGTTTTCTTTGGTATTAAATCTTAGCTAGAGATAAAAGATTCAAACCTGTCAAATAAAACAGATTTGTAATTCAAATAAAATAGCTCTGCTTACTCCATCAAATTGTAAATGTTTGAAAGTTGGTTTCAGTAATTGTTTGACTTCTAAGTGAAGCATATTGCAAAAGTTTAATTCTCTAAATAGCAAATAGCAAATATTGTGCAAAAAAGTTTGTGCAACAGTAGGAGTTTTCAGATCAAATAAGAAATTTCTGTCAGCAATTAAAATGACTTTATATTATGTTAGAGGAGTTGTTTGACATTGTTGATTCAAACTCAGTTGTTCTTAAAACCAAACAACCTCAGTTGTTTGGTTTTAAGAACAACTGAGGTTGAATCAATGTTTACAATAGTTGTAGTTGTTTAATATATTTTTCAAAGAACTAATAATTTTAATAACATTTCTAGACAGTATTTATCCCAAAATGTAAGCAAATTTATGTTAGGCTAAGTGTTTTTAACTGCATTTGATCCAAAACTAAAAGAAATATGATCATTCCTGCAAAAGTTGTCATGAGAATAAGGTTTCAGAGATTAAAAGAAAGATAAATACAAGAGGTGAGATAAGCCCATTGATATTGCTGATAAAGAAAAATGTTGCACATTAAAGGGTAAGAGTTAAATCACTATCAGGTATTATCAATGTATAATTTGTTTTACACATAAAGATATTTATTTTATACATTTAAGAAAGAAAAAAAAGGAGATAAAAAGTATTTTATTGCCAATAATGCACTAGAATTAAAAAAAAATAATTTATGAAGTTTATGTTTAACTGATTAAAAATCCTAACATTAAGGAGCTGCAATTTTAAATGTGTTAGAAGTTTTAGTCCCAATTAATAATGTTAAGTTTCATAAATCAAACTCAAACAGTAATTATCATCATCTTTGAAACAGCACACTTTAGAGTGAAAAATAAATAAACTGAAAGCACCAGTTTAAAAGCTGATCTCAGTGCTTGAGATCAGCTTTTTAACATTTATAGCTTTCAGCTTTTAAAACATTTTATAGGTAGTATAGTGGCCTATAATAAAGATGTTAGGCAGCTAAGGTTAAGCAGAGATCTGTCAGAACGAAGTGTTGTAAATTAGTATCAAATTAAGGAGGCTAGATAAAGTATGATTGTATTTAGTTATTGGCCATTAAGATGTTAGTTGTATATTTTAATGTTAAAATTATAAGGCTTAGAGAAGAACACTAGGTAGACAAACATTGCAGACAGGCTATTAGTATCTGTAACTAGCCTAAAGTTTGAAACCTAGGATGGTTTTTTTATGGTGCTGTACCAACTAAGAGTAGTAAGGGAAGGGGTATGGTTATAAGTATTATGTATCTCCTAGTATAGGAGATACATAATACTTGTAACCATATTGCTATTTTAAAATTGCTAAGTATTTTGTAAAATTCTGTTCTGATACCAGAATAAGTAATACTAATTGAAAATCTTATGCATTAACTATTCTGACATGACTTCTTGGTTATTTTTTTTGTTATTGTATTGGCACCATTTGGCAAGATAAATGTTGGGTAAACTCAGGTTTTTTAAGCAGTTTTAAAAGAAATATAAGCATTCAAAAATATAGATAGAATATTTAGTATTCTACTTGAATAGCAAATCTGATAAATTAAAGAGTTTTCATATATCAGCTTGGTGCCAATCACAATGCAAGGTTTATGACCTATGCATATACTTTCCAATGCTCAATATGACATTCACAGTCATTGAGTATCTGTGTCATCACAGTCATTGAGTATCTGACTCCTAAAAAAAAGGCTATGTTCTTAAGAGTAAAATTTATTGTTTATAAATTAAATCCACCAAAATAAAAGATTTTTTGAATGATTTAAATGCATTCAAAATTTTAAAGAATTTTAAATAGAATGGGATCATGAAATTAGTAACTTACCATGAAAAAGCATGAGTAGTTACACATGTTACCATAAAAAAGCATGAGTAGTTACATGTGTTAGTTGTTTCCTATGGTTGTGGTACTATTAGGTAATCTTCATCTAAAACCAGATGGTAACTTTCAATTGAGAAGTTCTTTAAAATTTTTAACGCTTAAGTTACAAGAGATTTCTGTAGATGCTCCTTCTGTTGTTGCTGTTTCTAGTGGTAGTAAATTAGAAGACTTATTTATGAGAGAGAGAGAGTTGGCTATTTTTTATACTTGAAGATACTTAAATTTTTATATACGTAAATATTTTTCAATAAAAAACATCAAAATAAGTTTTCAATATAAGCATTCAACATAAGCAAATAAACGTGGGTAATAATTTTTTAGTCATAATCAGAGACCACAAAATGATCAAATACAGTAAAAATGAATTGACAGAAGAGGTTTTACCCCAGACTTTTCAGACTGATGAAGGAGAGAGGGGACTTAAAAGCTTGCCCACACCTCATAATACATATGCATACACTTGCATAAACCTCACACCTTAAGCTTTTCAATACTGTTCCACCTGCTTTCCTTTCTACTTAGAAATCTACTGTTCAATACTGTTCCACCTGCTTCCCTTTCTACTTAGATCTCTTATAACAATTATAACAATTTTGTCTAATTATTAGTAATAGTATGTACTATAATTACCATATAGTTATTATGTCATACAATCAGTATTATATAACATATAATTATGTCATACAATCAATATTATATAACATATAATTATGTTTTGTCATAGTAAACTTACTTGTTAATAAAAATATTTTAGAAAAAAAATTATTAAAAAAACTTGTCAAACCATTGGTTTAAAAGTAAGTTTGTAAAATAGTTACACAAACATGTTTTTTCAATTGTTGGAAAAAAAAAAAAGTTCAATGTTTACATGAATATTAATTTTTTTAGGAATATTGGCAGTCTTTTTTAAAAATTGAATGTCCTGTTCTATTTTTTGCTGGGGCTCATGGTGCTTTATCATCATTTACTGAAACAGAGGTGTTTTTTTTATATAAATGTTTGAAAGTTTCAAATTCTATATTTGTTTTATGTTTGTGTTGTGTTTTTTCTGTTAGGTATGTGCAATGAGTTATCATTGTGTTTTTTTGTGTTTACATTACATGCGCATTATGTGTATGCATTAGGCCATTTTTTCTATAGAAATTGTGCAAATCAATTAAATCAGAAACAAGTTTTGTAGTTGTAGAAGGTGGCGATGATATGGTAAGTAAATTGTTCTTTTATTAGTTAGATCTATGGTAGCTTATATTATATACTAACAGTGATACAAGATAAACATTATTTTAAATATACATAGATACCATTTGCAAAAAAAAAAAATTGTTTTTTTTTTTTGCAAATGATAATTTAAAAGAAATTTAATTTAAAATCTATGTATATTTAAAAAAAATAGTACCTATGTATATTTAAAAAAAAATTATTTAAAAAAACGCTAAACAGTAATTAAAAACAATATTTATATCTATATAAAGCTCATCAATGTTTAATATTTTTATATTGTTTCGTGTTTTCATTGTTTTGTATTTTTCTTTTTTGAAAAAAAGATTCAACACAACAAGTTTATATCATTAAATAGCTAAACTAGTTCTGATGAAATTGATGTAAATATGTTAACTACTTAACAAATGTCAATGGACAGTATTGCAAAGCTTATCTCTTAAAAACTTAATTTTTAAGTATAAACACAGGTGTTTAAAAATATAAAAATTTATAAAATTTATATATTGTTTTATACTTTTATAAAGATTTTATATTGTTAAAATTTATATTGTTTAACAATATAAACATTTTATAAAAGTATAAAACAAATTTTTATCAATAATGTAGTAAAAATTTAATGAGTAGAATGTTAACAATTAATACACTTTTAACAACGTTTTATATCTAAAACTAATTCCATTAGTCATTTAAGCATTTTTAAATTATTTAATATACAGTCTGAACTATTTCTCTTGATTTGTTGAGTTATCAATAAATTTGAATTGGTTTTTAAATGAAAATATTATTTTTTATTTTTTAAGTAAAAAATGTTATTAGGTGAGTTTAAAGTGAATAAATATGTGTTACTTAGATTATCTAACAAAAACAGAAAATTAAATATATACTACAGCATACATAACTCTAGCACAGTTAACAAAGAATCAACAAAAACTGTAAAGAACTTAATGCTGCAAAAATGAAATAATTTTCTTATATATATATATATATATATATATATATATAATATATATATATATATATATATATATATATATATATATATATATATATATATATATATATATATATATATATATATATATATATCCTTGCATACTAAGCAAATGAGACTTTGTTTTTTTTTTTTTTGAAAACTGCAAAAATAACAACTTTAATGTCATCTTGTAGTCATAATCTAATTACTCCCCCCTGACTCTCTGTGGCAGCTCAAATAGTTAGAAGGAGTAGACAATGAGTAGTAAAAACTTATAAATTAGGGTGTTGTAATAGTTAAGGTGGGAGGAGATTTTAGTTAGAATTTTGAATTAGTGTTGATTGGGGTTAGTGGGATAGAGGTTATGATTTTTCTTTTTATATTTTTTGATTGATTTTATTTTTACTCATTCATTATTTATAAAATTTATGTTTTTATATCTTGTATACTGTAGAGAATTGTAATACAGTAGAAATGTTTCTATTAATTAAGTATTTATTAATGTTATATATATATATATATATATATATATATATATATATATATATATATATATATATATATATATATATATATATATACGTACATACATACATACATACATACATACATACATACATACATACATACATACATACATACATACATGCATGCATGCATGCATGCATGCATACATACATACATATATATATATATATATATATATATATATATATATATATATATATATATATATATATATATATATATCCACACAAAAATTTGAACTTTTTTACATAACATTGAAACAGTATACATTTAAACATTACGTCTTTATTTTTAAATGTATGCTATTTCAATGTTGTGTAAAAAAGTTCTTTTTGGATGTACTATATGGTTGGTCCTTTATTCCTGCTCATGTAACTGGTAACAGTAAATGATATTTAATAAAATGATACAAATGGCTATATATAATATATATTTAGATATATAACATAACTAAGTTATTACAAAAAAATCTCTTTGCATAATTATTTGTAAAGTTGAAGTTAAAAATTTGTTAATTTGTAGTCTGAAATACTTTAGTTAGCCAGCAAAAGGCAATCTTCAGATCCATGTTTGGATGTCACTATTCCAACATTAATTGAACTTAAAGTGTCTGAAATTGTATGCATTATTTGATTCCTTATTACTGGGCGAGGCTTTTCTCATTAGTGTACACAAGCTGCTGCTATAAACAACTTGATTGGCTACTGTTTACTATTATAAACAACTTGATTGGCACCTGTTTACTATTAGGAGAATACACAAAACAAATAACCAGTAATAGTTAAAAAAAAAGATAGAGAGGGAAGGTTTAGAAAAAAAGACAGTTTTCAAACTAAAAGCATGAGGATCACTTATCTCTATTAGAGTTGGAATTATTTAAAGAGTAACAGATCTAGTAAACAATTTTCTCTTTAAATAGTCATGGAACTACAAGTTTCCCTTAAACTTTCTGACAACAAAAAGCTTTTTTTCTATAATTAGAACTGGATTAAATGGAAGAGACTCTGCGGAAAGAAATAGTTCAAAAACTAGATAATCTTGAAGAACAACTATGATGAACTAGGATGAAATTTATAATTGTAGAGCAAATTGAATTTGTTTCTAACCAGAATTAAGCTCTTAACATATTTAGTCTATATTAAAAATCCCTTTGATTTAATCCTGCTTATTAATAAAGAAAGAAAATCCATGTGTAGGTTTTATATGAGTTTTTTTAGATGAAGGAACAGGCTTCCTAAAAATTGTTGTGAGTGTTTTTGAAAAAAAAAAAGAATCTAAAAAGAAATTGTTGTGGAGTTCAACAGTTTTTAGTATAGCTATAGTTGAAGATCTAAAAAAATAAGAAAACCTTAGATTAGTGCTTGAGAAATTTAACCATGAAGATGTTAACTATTGTATTGTTTTTGATTTTAAACGTGCTAATGTATTATTTGGTCTTTCATCACACGCAAATAAAAAAAAAAGCTTGTTGTGTAGTAGTAAATGTATGCTTGTAACTCTTAGAACTCTTGGTGATACTTGTTACAAATATTTAAAATGGATCCTTTAGATTTTCAGAATTTCAAATCTGTTAAAGGAACTTGTTTTGAAAAATAACCTTAGTTCTGACTCAGAACAAAAAATATCTATGTTAAAAGATGCTTTTCTATGCATACTAGAAACAGCTTCTTCTCTTGCAAAGACACTAACAGTTTCAAGGAAATTCTTTAGATAATAAATTTATCGAAAGATTTGATTTTATAATTAAGAAGTTGCGAATAAAGTTTGATTAAGTTTTATTAATGATTTTTGTCATTATTTTTTTCACATATGGTTTGCCCAAATTCTCATTCAATTTGTGTACTGAATCTTCTATCTATTACTGTTTTCATTAGACGTCCATGGCTTTTTATTTTTTGTTTTGTTTTTATTAGCCGTCCATGGATTAATAGTTTGGCTTAATTTATTCACGTGTTTTTTCAAGCTGAAAAATATTAAAAAAAAAAATTCGAACGCAAACATAGTTATTTATTAATTTAAAAATTGGTTGTTAAGTTCATAATAGTTTTTAATAAATTATTAAAAAACTATTATGAACTATTATGGTTGTTAAGTTCATTAAAAGTTTTTAATAAATTATTTTAAGCAAAAACTCACTTTTCAAAAATCAAAAGTCAGCTTTTAAAAAATGTTTTCTTACGATTTTTCTTTTTTTATTTGAATATTCTATTATTTATTGTAGTTTGAATTTTGTCTATTATTTTTATTAAGTTTCAATTTACAAAACCTCTTTTTTTGGTATCATTTTTTATTAAATATTTATTTTAGCTACGTTTGTCAAAAAGTCATAAAATGAAACTCGGCATAACTCAAAATATGATTGATAAGTTAATTCAGGTATTGTTTAGTTAGTATTTATATATATGTAAATGTGTGTTTGTATATATATACATATATATATATATATATATATATATATATATATATATATATATATATATATATATATATATATATATATATATATATATATATATATATATATATATATATATATATATAAATATATATATATATATATATATATATATATATATATATATATAAATGTATATATATATATATATATATATATATATATATATATATATATATATATATATATATATATATATATATATATATATATATATATATATATATATATATATATATATATATATCTTAAATGTAGTAATAGCATAAAATAAGTAATTATTTTTTAAAAATAACACGATGTTTTTTATTCTTGACATTTTCAAAAGATTATTTTACATTAAAAAAACTCTGAAATATATATTAAACAATAGAAGTCTTTACAGCAACTGATTTATTTTCTAAAGATAAAATTAACTCAAAACCATTTTCAAAAATTCACTTTCAAAAATTACTACAGACTTCCACATTCGGTTTACATTTTCTATTTGACGGAAATATTACGATCAAACAGATGGTGTTGCTATGGGTTCTCCTTTAGTGCCCATCCTAGCTAATATTTTTGTCGGATTTTATAAAAAAACATGGGTCAATAACTGCTCCTTTACAGCACCGTTTCTTTATAAACGGTATGTGGATGACATAATTGCTATTTTTACGGTAAACGGTATGTGGATGACATAATTGCTATTTTTACGGTAAACGGTATGTGGATGACATAATTGCTATTTTTAATTCTGAACATCAAGCTCAAGAATTTTTCAAACACTTCAATAAACAACATAAAATTTTGAAATTTACTATGGAAAAAAAACAAGATAACCAGATTGCCTTTTTAGATGTACTTATTAAAAAATCCAATTTGTTTTGGACTTCAGTTTATCACAAAAGAACGTATACAGATGTTTTAAAAATATTTTTTAGTTTTATTCTCTTTTGCTACAAATTTAGACTTGTTCGTTGTTTGATTGATCATACATTTAAAATTAATAATACTTGGGTTGGTTTTGATAAAGATATTAAGAATCTACCATTAGTTTTACAAAATAATAAATTTCCACAAAAAATTATTGACACTGAAAATAAATCCTATATTGATAAGAAAATGAACCCATCTGTTTCTAACATTGTTAATTGCTCAAACATAAGATACTTTAAGCTTCCATACATTTGAATGTACTCTAATTATTGCAAGGATGTTCTAATAAAATTAATTTTCACTACTAATAAAATACAAGATTGTTTTTGCTTAAAAGAGTCACTTCCTAAACTGTTTAAATCTCGTGTTGTCTATAAATTTTCTTGCGCTGGGTGTAATGCCAGTTATATTGGAGAAACCTCCAGATATTTAGAATAAATGAGCACCTTAAAAGTGATAAACAATCTCATATATTTAAACACTTAAATTTATCTATTAATTGCAAAAATCTGGCTAATTGTGATTCTTTTAAAATTTTGGATAATGCTCCAACCAAACACAAATTAAAGATAAAAGAAGCCCTCCACATTAAATGGAAAAGTCCCTCACTTAAGAAACAAACTTTACATTATGCTATAAACTTATCTATTTAATTTTACTGTCAGTTTATTTTTTTGTTTTTGTTTTGGTAGTTGGTAATTTTGATTGGTTATTAAACGAGTTATTTTGTAATAAATACATTGGTTTATTATGTATAATTTTTGTCCGTTAATATTTCTCTGTAAAGACTTTTATTTTTTAATATTTATTTCAGAGTTTTTTTTATTGTAAAATAATCTTTTGAAAATGTAAATAAATTTTTACGACACATGTCAAGAAAAAAAAACATTAAAAAAAAAAATTATATGTGTATATATATATATATATATATATATATATATATATATATATATATATATATATATATATATATATATATATATATATATATATATATATATATATATATATATATATATATATATATATATATATATATATATATATATATATATATATATATATGTATGTATATATATTCTTTAGGATGAAATCTACCTTTTTATGAAAAAGTTGTTTTTTCATAAATCTCACTACGTTAAAGAGCAATTCAATCCTAAGAAAAAAAAGAAAAAAATTGAATTAATTGGTAAAGAAGAAATTAAAATAATACGTAAAAGAATTTTACAAAAGAAAAAACCTCTCCAACCATTAAAAATTGTTCCACCTCCTCAAACACTTCTTACTCCACCTTCAGAACTTCCTAACAATTTTGTTAATTTAAATAAAGATAACAACAATCATTCCGCAGGGCTTTTAACAACTGCAAATCAGTATTTTACCACTTCCACATTAGAGGAAACACGTAATCTTGTCTGTTCGTTATCTGACCAGCAAACATCATCCAATAAATTATCTGCAGGCAAACCCAAAAATAAGAAATTGTCAAAAGATAAGTTCAAGAAAGTTAGAAATATATTCACAGCATCTTTTGATTCACAGCCATCTGCTAAAAAGAAAAGTTGTCCTAATAATTATTATTCAGTTCCTGATGCTTTTAACACGACTCAAAATTTGCAACAGGTACAAGCTGGTTTGCTTTCATCTAGCAGTACAGGACAAATTCAAGTTCAAGGAAGTAGTTTTTACTATCTTCATCAAACACACGGTTCTTTGCCCAAGAATTCAATAGAATCTTCAACAAGTGTTCTTCCAAATTTAAAAGGTCAATTGGTTTCTTCAGGATCTGGAAAACAGACAATTGTAGTTCATCCTATTTCTAGATTTGTTATTAACCAGCCCACGGTTTCGAGTCTTTCTACTATAAATTCTTCATCCAATCAGATAACTGAATATGATCATATTGCAGAAAATATCAATAATTGTATTGACGATAAAAAAAGTTGCATGTCTATTAGTACAACATCAAACTGTGAATCTCAAGCTTCTTCATCGGGCTCTCTCCAATCATCTCAAAGTGTCCCTTCAACATCTCTTTTAACAGAGTTGTCTTCAAATGACCTTAGGTATTTTACTAATTTGATTTTAAAGCAAAAAAATCAAACAATTTTTACCAGCTCTTCGATTTGTGTATCTTCCTCTGCTAAGTGTGCAACATATACAGGTAATTCATTAGGTTCTTCATTTCGTGCTTCATCAACCACTGCTTCATCAACCACTTCAAGTTTGATGTTTGATGGTTTTAAACATCTTTCTTCGCCATCTTTGTTAAACTCTCATTCTGTTCAAAATCCATTCAAATCCTTTGAGCCTTTAAACGAAAAGGTTTCAGTTTTTAAAAATGTGCAAGGTAGTCTTCATCCACCAATATCTCAATGTAATTTAAATATTCGACCAACAGCTACACCGAAAAAGTACCGAGTTAATTCTCCATACTTTTCTGGTGTTTGTGGTAACAATACTAATGGTAGTTTTACATTGACATATAATCCTCAATACAAAAATTCGAAATCGACGTCCATACAAAATGGCGTTAAAGTATCTTTTTCATCGCCAACATCTTTATCAAATATACCTGATTTCTGCTCCCAAAAGATTGCTAACTCGGTTACAACTGCTGCAACAAAGGCACTTGTTTCATCGTCTAACACTAATATTTCAAATGTCCAAGAATTATCTAGACAAAAATCGGCTTATTATTTATCATGCAATTCTACTAAAGGTTCTGGATCACTTATAAATGATAAAAAAAATAAAAAACATTTTTTAAATAAAAATCCAAGTAGTATTATTGAACCAAACGAATTAGTAGTAAAACCTGGTCATTTGTCTGAGATTAATCAAGTAGACACCTATTTATCTAATAATCGTTTCACTAGTGAAACGATTATCAGTGAACAAAAAGCAATAGATGAACAACAGCGAATGTATTCGTTGCTTCAAAACTTTTTGAAACAAAGCGATGTTGGTCAATCGCAATACATAGACGTGACTCGTACAGATAATCTAAGTTTATTAAATAAAGTTGATTCTCCGACAGTTGCTGAAAATGCCAAAGGAGACGGTTTTTACGATTATATAAAAGCACACTTTGACGAAGCGTGTGCGTTGCGCACTGTAAATGATATTTCAAAGGAATTCAATCAAAGTACAGCAAAATCTAAGGTTGATAAAAAAGAATACTCATCACTATTAGTTGATAACGTTTTTAATGAGAGTGTTACGAGTCAGCAATTTGTTGCTAACACCTTAAATTTGCCTTTTTCTAAGAATAAAATGCTTTATACAAATGGACAGGAGATTTTAACAAACATAAATAGCATTAGTTCAAGTTATTTATCAAAAAGTCCGGTACCGGTTACAACAGTATTATTGAACAACTCCCATAGTATTGATAAAGATCTGCTTTCAACAGTTATTGATAATTTAGAAAAATCTGAACTTATCGGAGATGCAAGAAACGTTTTGCACGAATTCTCTCAAAACATACGTTACAATTCTTTAGAAAAATTAGTCGACTCTACAGAAAAATGTGTCGATTTTTCAAAAAAATTAAGTTTACAACAACAATCAAATATTGAAACATTTTATTCTGCAACAGAAGATAAAAACGATAAAGGTACTAAAAAAGAAAATGAAAATAAACAAAGCGTTACATTTAATCCTATGATGTCTTCTGAAATGTCTAGTGAGAATGTTTCTAAAGAATTCATTTCCACAGAGAGTGGTGATTATAAAACTGCTGTTACTGAAGGCAGAAAAAATTTTAAAATAGATAACGAATGTTTCCCTAATCTAAATCTTTCTGAACCACAAAGTGGCCGGGTATCAAGTGATCGTTCTGTCGATAAATTATTAAAATCTTCCATATTTAAATTTGCTGATACTAATAAACCTGAAGAGCCATCGTTAACATCCCTGCTAATAGATGCTCCCGCTATTAAGGAAATTGCTGTGCAAAATGTATCAAGCGAAATCAATTTTTCCGTTAATGGATATTCTTCGCAATCTGATAATATTCCAAGTGAAGAAGTGTCCTTTTGTACTCGGCTTCATGAGAAACCTGTAGATTTAATGTTCAGAGCAGTAACAGAAAATGGTGGAACGAACGGTAGCCTTAAAGAATTTATTTCAGCAGAAAGTCAATCTTTTTTTATGGCAGATAACATTGTAAGTCTTAAAAACACACTGCATTCCATAAATAATTTAAAAGAAAAAAGCTTGTTGTTTACAGAGCCAACTATGAGTTATTTATTAAAAGGTGATTCATTTGACAATCCAGATTCCTCTAAAAAAGATATTTTTTAGTTTTAGTTACTATTGAAAAAAACTTAAAAGTCAACAGTCTTGCAACTGAAAAGTCAACAAATCAATGAGAACTAATTGCAGCTTACATGGTTTTACTTTTTTAAACTAATAACTTTCTTTCCTTTCTACCCTAAAATATGTGATAACATATTTTTGATTGTGGTTTTATTGTACAATTTATTTTATTTTTACAAAAATAATATTATTGAGTTACTTTATTATTTTCCTTTTATAAATCCTATAATCATTTTCGATGTGAATAATAGTCATGTATAGAAATACCACTATCATTTACAAGTTTTGCTAATTTTGACATGATGTTTGTCCCTTCGTCACGTTTCATAAATGCTTCTTATTTCATAAAATCCTCTCTAATAATGTCACTTTTGTTTGTTTTAAAAAGTTAACTGTAATAAGTAAATCAGCAGCAACAGGTAGATTAGGCATTAAGTTGGGCATTTAAAATTGTTTTGAAAGATTTTTTAAAGAAAGTTCAATATTTTAATCCTGGCAGCGAGGATACAATTATTTATTTTTGAATAAGGTCTTTTTTATCAGTGATACTTCAAAAAAAAGTCGTTTTGTGACGACTCTTTCAAGACTTGATACTAAAAAACTACCGGAAAAAGAATGGGTCAAAAACGGTCAAAAATTGCGTAACGTAATTTATATACAACCCCTAAGAATAGTAAAAAAATTATTTTATTAATTTGTTGCTTTCTTTTTAGGGGCAACAGGATAGCAAATTTTGGAGCTTGGTTCCCAGGCTCCAATCATCTTAATTTTTTGCAAAGCATCCTTATTAAACATAAGTATAAATATTAATTATGGAGTTTGCTCCTATATATATATATATATATATATATATATATATATATATATATATATATATATATATATATATATATATATATATATATATATATATATATATATATATACAGGGTTCGTACTGTACCTGGAAGACCTGGAAAATTAGTTAATCTTGGCCAAAGTCAGGGATCTTTTTTTTTTTAATCAGATAGTCAGGCAATTCTGATTGAGAAGTTACTCGTGTTACAATTAAGCGATTATGTTTTTGTTGGTGCTACCCATTAATTTATTTTAACAATTAAAAAAATACCCTACAGTGTTTCACAGGAAAGCGCATGATCGCGTGCCATTATATGACCACACAATTTGACCACGGCGATTAAATTTTTTAAAAATCAAAATAAAAATGCGCTTATAACCTAAGCAAAAACTTAACAGAAAATAACAGCGAAATAAACAAAACAAAAAAAAAATCTTGACGAAAGAGAACAAAAACTAATACTCCTAATTACATTTTAACTCCTCATTAAATAACATTTGGAATAAACAACTTTGATATTTTCTAATGTGTTTACATTATGAAAAACGATTTTGAATCAAGTAACAAATTACTTTGTTAATTATTGTTTTCAATAAATACTTTTTATTCAAATTATCTATGGTCGTTATTTGATTATTGCAACGATGTTCTCTTTTTTTTTTTTTTATAAAAAAACTATTTATATATATATTTTTTAATGATCAATTTAGATCGTTTAAAACTATTTCTTTAATTAAAAAAAAGACTTATTTCAAAGAAGCACGGTTAAACAAAAACAGTTACCCTCTTGATTCTAGGCTAATGAAAAGGAAAGATTATGCCCAGGTTAAATGTAAATTATGTTATAAAATAATTGAATTTTTAAACATGGGTTTTCAAGCACTAAAAAGTCACGATGGCCCTGTAGCCCTTAATGTTAGAGCAACATCTTTATAAAACATTTTTTTCTAGATTTATATTCATCAACTGTTTTCAAATTTCATGCAATAATTTTATTTTTTTCAAAAATTGTGATCTTATGAAGGTTTAACCAATCTCAATATGAGGAGACTGTAACCAATCTCAATTTGAGGAGATTGTAACCAATCTCAATTTGAGAAGACTAAAAACTTTTCTTATGTCGTTTTTCCTTCCCAGATAGTTTTTGAGTTCTCTTTTCTTCGTAAAAATTATTACAAACTATGATTTATTTTTTTGAAACTTTTTAAAATATATCAACAGTAACGTACACAAACATGCTTGTTATGCTGCTCACGCTGGGTTTGTTACTATGCATATATCTTAGAGGTATAATATTTCAATCGAAAATAGTTAATAATTTATAAATCTTTATTTTTAAAATCTTTAAAAATTATCCATTAACAGATTTTGATTTTTTATAATAAGTGAAAAGTCTTTGAAAGCAAAAATAATAAAAAAAAAAAAAAGTCTTGAAAGCAAACAAGTAAAAGAGAAAACAATATGTAAAAGTTTAAAACCACTTCAAACTAAATATTTTAAAATAATGTTTGTTAAATTTTTTCACTTATTAGTAATATTAATATCATCGTTTTTTCAAGGTAAACATTTTTACATTATTTAAAAAGTTTTAAATTTTATTTGATGGAAATATGTATGTATGTATGTATGTATTTAAAACCAGTTCTTAATCGATGTGCAATCAATGTTGGCCGGTGCCTCAAATATTTCAAACTGAAAAAATAACAAATACACTTTTTTCTTATTACATAACATCAAAACACAGTGCTGGATCAAGGGGGGGGGGCTATAGCCCCGAGCCCCGTCATATCCCCCACTATCAAAACATGTCATAAAAAATCATCATTAAATCTTTTAAATTGCAAAAATAGTATTTAATATCCAATTCGTTTATAGGTTTTTTTTACTTTAATTCAAAACTTCTGTCATTTTGTTTTATTTTCTTCGTTCTAATTAAACTGCCGTCTCAACTTATTTTTTATATTCATTTTTTAAGTAGATAAAGTTATTAGGGGTCGTCCATAAAGTATGTCATGCTATTTTTTTCAATTTTCAACCCCTCCCCCCCTCCTGTCACAAACTGTCCCATATTTCTGCAGCCCCCTAAAAAGTATATCACATTTTTTTCAATTCCCTCCCCCCCTCCAAAACAAAACAAAAACAAATCGATACGGAATTTTTAACATTCTAACAACATAGTAATAGCTATTTTTATAAAACTCTATTAACTAATTTGGAATACCTTCTTAATTTATTAGGAAAGGTCGTCATAATAAAATAAAATAAAAATAGTTCTTTTATTTGAATCTCATGTTTTTAATGGAACTGGAACACATTTGCACTCATTTAGAGAAATTAAAATTATTGCATTTATGCCATATTATAAATTACAACTAACTTAGTTATACTGACCACTATCTAGCTACTATCCTACTTATACTTTTATTTGATAATAATCTGTGTTTCCTATTGGCTATTTAAAGCATGAGCAAGTCTATTTAACTTAGTTATCATATATTATATATTTATTTAGTCATATATTCTTGCTTAAATGTAAATGTAACTAAAACTCTAGTGTTTATATAATGTCATAAGCAAGGCCGGCGCGATAGGGGTGTGTGTCACACCCCCCCCCTCATCAATGATTTTTAGTCGGCAAACTGGACCCTTAGTCGGCAAATTGGACCCTTAGTCGGCAAATTGGACCGTTTTAGACTAGTTAGTCGGCAAATGTCGACCCTTTCTATATAGGTTAGACAGTCGGTATATGTCGTCATGACAGTCGGCAAATTTTGGAAAACGAGGACCTTTTTTTTTTTTTTAGTGGGCAAAAGTTGTAATGGCACCCCCTCCCCCACGTGACACCTACTCTCGCCGGCCCTGGTCATAAGATTCAAAAAAATAAATAATATAAAAGATAATATATTTCATCATATGTTTTATTTACTTATTTAAACCCTCCATTTAAAATTCCCAACTTAAATTGTAGGTTCTTAATTTAATGATTTTGCATTGCTGCGCTTCAATGTCTTCAGAAACGTAAAGGCAGTTTTTGCAAACTTTTTAAACTATTTAAAGCTATTTAAAATTCGGCTATACGCATAGCATGAGTAGTGTGAGCAAAATTTTTGACAATCTGAAACACTTATTAGAATGAGTAAATATGTAGAAAATATATAGTCTTTACAAATTTTTATTTAGTAGCAAAATTATGAACTAACTGTTTCTTTACATTTTTGTCTTCACTGGCCCTCATTTTCAAGCTGAAAAATTAGTTGCTCAATCAAATTAGAAAATTATCAATTTGACTTGTTTTAAAAAGCCTACTTATTTTAATAATTTACAAACCAACTTATTATTTTGTTTGTTTTTGTTTTGTTTTATTATTAAGGTGCCTCAAGAAGACCTAACGGTCTTGTCTCAAAGCACCGCGGAAGTGCATTTAACCAGGAAGCTCACGCGTCCTTCCTAACCGTGACGCGAAAATGCGTTCAGAGCTCGTATCGAACCTGGATCTCCTGCTTCTAAAACAAGCGCTCTAACCACTTCGCCACGGAAGGAGTGGTTTTAAAATATTTGGCGTTTTAAAATGCCAAATATTTTAAAACATCACCACAGTATTCTAAAATCTAAATCCAGACGTATTTTCTAATTTTAAAAAGTATTCTAAAATTCTAAATCCAACTTTTCTTTTCTAAACTGACATATAAAAAACAGAAATGCTAATAAAGCAGAAGAGCTAAATAAAACAGAAAATTTAAAAATGACAAAATGAAAAGATCAAACAAAAGAGGTCCTTACTTGATGCTCTAACATCTTTAAAGCATAAAAATTTTTAAAAAAATTTAAAGAAAAGCTAAAAAACATATATATATATATATACAAAATAGCTTAAAAAAAGTTAAATAAATATAAACCAAAACATAAAAACTTAAAACAAAAATATAAACGTTTTACAAAAAGACGCAATTCTCACACAGCTTGTTGAAACTTAAAAGACCTCCTGTTTTTTTTCAACTTGTGGTCTTGAAATTTAATGGTCAACGTGCGTAGTTTAGAAAAAGGCCTATTATACGAAAAGCAAAAAAATGACGTTAAACGTTCGTTGAAGAAACAAAATCTTGAGGCGCGCAATTTTAAAAATGAAAGTTCTTAACAAATTTTACTATCTCATTAAGTAATGTCATTAAGAATTAACCGGACTAATTATTTGAATTTTGTTTGGATGTTGCGCAACGCGTAAAAGTGTCATATTTGAAATATAAAAAACGTTTTCGCTCACAGGCTCATTTTATATATATATATATATATATATATATATATATATATATATATATATATATATATATATATATATATATATATATATATATATATATATATATATATATATATATATATATATATATGCATATACATTTTTTGGCATTCCTAGCTTCACTTCCCTTTTCAAAATAAATATATATAATTTATATTTGAAAAAGAAATATATATAATATATATTTTCAAAATATATATAATATATATTTTCAAAAAGAAATATATATAATATATATTTTCAAAATAAATATATATAATATATATAATAAATATATATAATATATAATATAATTAGACCAATATTTCAAAATATTTCAATATTTTAATGAGACCAATATTTCAAACTACAGACCAATCTCAGTCTTACCCTGCTTTTCTAAACTAATTGAACGCATTATGTACAACAGACTTTATAAATATCTATCTGAAAATAAGATTTTATATAATAATCAATACGGTTTTAAAAAAAATCGTTCTACTGACCATGCAATAGTTGAATTAGTTAAGCATATATCAAATGGATTTAATAGTGATTGTTATACAATAGGGGTTTTTATTGATTTATCCAAAGCTTTCGACACAGTAAATCATGAAATTCTTTTGAAAAAATTAGAAAACTATGGTGTTAAAAATCAAAGTTTACTTTGGTTTAAATCATAACTAACTAACAGAAAGCAATTTATACTTAAAGAATCAAAAGACTCAAAAAACAACTTAATAACTTGTGGAGTACCCCAAGGTTCTATTTTGGGACCATTATTGTTCTTACTTTATATAAATGATTTATATTTATCATCAAAAGTATTAAATACTATCTTATTTGCAGATGACACTAATTTGTTTTATTCTCACAAAGATATTACTGTTCTTTTTAAAATATTTAACGAAGAATTAGACAAGATCAACGAGTGGTTTATAAGTAACCGACTATCATTAAATGTAGAGAAAACAAAATTTATCTTATTCCATAAACCTAGTAAAGCCGAGAATATTAAACTACCCAATCTTTTAATCAATAATAAAATAATTAAAAGGGAATTGACTACAAACTTTCTGGGAGTGCTCTTAAATGAAAAATTGTCATGGAAATTTCATATTAAATATATTGAAGGTAAGATCTCAAAAAATATTGCCATGTTATACCGAACGAAACCTTTTCTTAATAACGAGTCTTTAAAAAATTTATATTTTTCGTTTATACACAGCTATCTTTCATACTGTAACATTACCTGGGGTAGCACTAATCACACTAAACTCAAAAAAATTTATAGTAAACAAAAACATGCTTGCAGGATAGTATTTGGGGCAAATAGAAAAACACAATGCGAACCTCTCTTACGTCAGCTTGGAGCTTTAAATATTTATAAGCTTAATATTCATCAAGTAATATTTATGTTTAAAGCAAAACTTATAAACTTTACGTTAATGGAGAAAACCCAAGTTTTGCTTTAAACATAAATATATTTATGTTTAAAGCAAAACTTGGGTTTTCTCCAGTAACATTTCAATCCTACTTTAATGAAATCTCCCATAAATATCCAACCAAATTTTCAGTGAATAACTTTGTGGTTCCCATAAACTTTCTTAAATTAAGTTCGTACCAAATTCAATATCGGGGGCCTTTAGTTTGGAAAGAATTTCTTCCAATCTTTAGTAAAAAACAAAACTTCGTTTTAAACTGCACTTTGCAAAGTTTTAAGGATGATTCAAAACGCCATTTACTGAACATGGAATTCAATATACTAGATTTCAAATACCTTTTTTGAAAACAATTTAAAGGTTTAAACTAAATCACTTAAAAATAAATTAAATCTTTAACACTTTCTTTAGCTTTTATTAAAATGGTTTTAAACCATTAGTATAAAAGATAACGAAAATAAAATTGTCTTTTTCGTTCATGTTTTTGATGACATTAAATAATCAGCCCAAATACTTATGTTTACATATATTGCTTTTTTTTTTTTTTTTTTTTTTTTTTTTTTTCAATTAAACAACACATTTTTTTGTGTGTTTTTATAACTTTCATGTTTTGTCGTTTTTACTTTTTTATTTTTAAAATTATTCTGCTTGAAGATTGTTAGCAACAAATTATTTTATTGCTGAAGTTTTTGATTTGTTTTTGTTTTTGTATTTATACTGTCTTTTTGTCATTTATCATTTATTGTGCATGTAAATTTTTGTGTGACGGGGCTCGGTGATAAGACAACCTGTCTTCTTCTTGCTCCGGCCAGGATTTTCTTTTATTGTAATTTCTTTTTTGTAATATTTATCAACGGCAAATTAAATAAATAATAAAAAAAAAAAAATATAGTATAAATATTTGGCATTCCTAGCTTCACTTCCCTTTTCAAAATAAATAAAACTTATATATCTAAAAAATTGCTTTAAACCCCAGAATTTACTGGTTGTAAATAGTTTAGGTTATTAAATTGTAAAAAAAATGTAACATTTCAACTTGTATATTGTGTAACTTGTATATTGAGAAAATTTTTTGAGATGTTTATATTTATTTGTTTGGTGTTTTAGATTCCTTTTTGGAAAATATTATACCATTTTACAGTTTGGGTTACTTTGGTTCACCTGAGTTTTTGGGAAGTCCTGCAAATGAAAGCAGTTGTGTCCAAACTTGCTGGAAAGAAATTGAAAGTGGTGTTTTGTACGAGGGTGCAGTTATAAATAACGACTATAAATATTGTTTTTGCACTGTTACGCAGTTTGGACTACCGTTACTTTACTATAGTAATCGAAAAAGCATACGTTTTCTATGTAAGATTTTTATGTTTGGAATGTAAGCTGTTTACAGTAATTTTTGTTAAAAATTCAGGATTTAATAGGGATCTCAACCTAACGCATTTAGGTTGAGAACCCTAGATAACAATTTTATAGGGTTCTCAACCTGCATTTTGAATCTGACAAAAAAACTTTATGTTTGACACCCATTTAATAAATAAAACGAGTTTAAAAGAAGTAATCAAAAAGTTTTTAAATAGCAATTTTTTTTCAAAAACTTTGTAAAATTTTTTGACTAGAGATAATATGTAAAATGCTGTGTCATTCTATGTATCTATGCTGAACAAATGCTTTCTTGTTTTTTTTTTTTTTGTAAACTTTTTGGTTAATTTTTTCACAATAATCTCATTAAAAACATTTAGTTTCGATTTTTCAATCAGAATCTGCAAATTGCTTTATTGGTTCTTATATAAATTTTCGAGTGAGAGTCAGTTTTTATCTTGAAGGAAATGATGAGAGCGTGTTGTATTTTATTGATGATCTCAATAACTCAATGAGTAATTCAGGAAGGATAATTATCACACGCTTTATTGATCTTGGTCGAAGTTTTTATACATCTAGATCAACAGAGAGAAATAAACAGAGTAAACTTTATTCTTCAGTGAAAGAAACGTATTCTGGAAATTTAAATTCTAAGTTTGAAAATTTTTATGCTTTAGAAACAAAGGTGAGTTTTAGTATTTTTTGCTGATGATATATGTTACTTGATATTTTATTTGTAAGAAATCAGTTTATTTAAAATAGATCGGCGATATGTCTGTTGCATATAATCACACTGAATGGGCTGTGCTGGTTTATTCCACAAATAATTCTTTGTGGGTAACTTTGTCCCCGTTTACTATAATGCGTCCAGTAAGAAAATGTAGTCTTATCATAACAGTTTCAAACTATACTTTGAAGTAAGTTAAAAATTATATATATTATTTTTATAATTACATATAATTAATTTTTATAATTATATATAATTAATAATTATATTTTTTGTGTGCGTGTAACGTTTACATTATCTTTAAATAAGTAAAAAAAAATTTGATCAAAATTGTTAAAGCTGCGCGTGAAAAGTTTAATACAAGAGCATACATGTGTGCAAAATTGTGGTATCTCCTGTATGCTGTAAAAAAAAAAAAAATTTAATACCAAAGCATAATTATAGTAGATTGATTTTAAACGTCTTAAAATACTATAAAGAATTTGTTTAGCTTTGTTTTAAAGGGTGTCAGGTGTCCGTTTTAATTGTCCGGTGCATGTAAATTGGCGTGTGCTGCTGCTCGTGACGTAAAATAAACGTTAGGTTTAGTATTTTTTATTTTTAGTCAAAGCATTTTTATTAACTTCAATATGACAACCAGCGTTGACTGCGTTGTAGATCTTGAAAACGTTACAATAATTATTGAACATTACCGAAGATTCAAGCTTAAAAGACTAACTTGGGATTATTTAAGCATCAATCCAACTTCACTGATTAGTCTTGCTAACTTTGATACTATTTATGTAAGTATAAGTTGATTTATAAAAATTTGTGTGTATAAAAAAGTTGTTTAACATGTTTTACACAATCTCTCATTGCAATGAATTTACGAACCATCGTTCATATAAAGTTATAAAAATCATAATTCATTATACTATTTAGGTTTTTAACAATGAATAATACAAAATACATCCTCATTCATCACCTTCATTATAATCATCTTTGTCTTCATCTTTTTCTTCATTATCGTCTTCATAAAAAAGTACATCCTCACCAACATATCTAAACCCAGACGGCTCAGCTTCATCGGCAATTTTCTTCCGTCTGTTTACCTTTAAGGTTAAAGTACTGAAGATCTTTATCATCAAATATGGTGAATTGTTCATCTTCTTCAATCCATGACTAGAGATCATCGAAGTTCTCTTAACAGATGGGATCAAATTGAAATATGTGTTTTCTTGCAGATGTTTTTGTAATTGTCTACATAAAGTAGCAAAAAATATGTTAATAATTTGATACGTAAGAATATAAGAATAGCAAATAGAAAATGCTAAATAATAAGTTGTATTACCTTTAATCAACCTCATGTTTTATTGAACAAAAACAAGGTCATTCAACCTTATATGTTCGAGCCTATTTCTTTTCTTGTTTTAGATATGTTGGTAAACGCTCCAATTCTATTTTATTATTATTTATTTTGTCATTTATAAACATTTTACAATATTCTTGTTTTACAAGTTTTATCAATAAAATTTAAATAAAAATTAGGAGCAACAAATTAGGAGCAAGTAGAAGTCAGAAGTCTTGTCATCAGGTCCCTATTGTAAGGATAAAGTATTTGTACAAATTTCTTATTATTTAAATTTACAAGTTCTCATTTATTAAAACAAGTTATTGCTTAATTACAACAAGATGCGATAAATTGAAACAATAAAACAAATAGATAAAGTAAGCAATATTACAAGATTAATTATTAAGACACAACCGATTTTTTTTAAACTTAAAAATACAAAAATATGTTTGCGACTGTTGATTTACGTAAATACTGTTCAACTAATTTTTCAAATCAATATATTGAGGTTATACTTTTCATATTTTCTCAAGAACTATGTTACATAGACGTGGTCCTCTATATTAAATCGAGTAATCGGATGTTTTAAGAGTTGACTAAGGTAAGTTAAAGTCATAGATAGAGCACCTCGTTATGTATTTATGAATAATGTTTAGAAATAAGGATTTTGGAAGCAAGTCAGTTTGATGTTTAAACATGAATAATAAGTTTTGAAACTGCTTTAAATCATAGATATTAAGAGCTTTAATTTTCCAGAGCAACGGCTTGGAGTGGGCGTATTTATGCACATTATATATAATTCTTCTGGCTTGTTTTTGTTTAATACATGTTTTTTTTAATGCTGAAGGGCAAGTACTTGCCAAAGCAATATTATATTAGCTTATGTAGCTATGGATAAAATCTATTAAACTTTTTTTACTTAGCAGATGTTTTGTTTAATGCATAATGCCTATAGTTTTTGATATTTTGTTTTCAATTATTATATATAATTGTATATCAATATGATTTTTTCAAATAAGATGTTTATCAAATATTATTCCTAGGATTTTAAGTGATGCAACTCTGTTTACTATATTGTTATTTATAGTTAGCAGAGAAAGTTGAAAGATATATAAATATACATACAAACATATATATATATATATATATATATATATATATATATATATATATATATATATATATATATATATATATATATATATATATATATATATATATATATATATATATATATTAGCATATAAAAAAAAGTACCAACCACGGCACGAACAACAACATACGATTAGTAACTACTAGTACAGGAATTCGGTATATATAGTAATACAGAGTATCTTTTTCTAATTATTATAAGTCAGTACATATCACAACCACGGACGCATATTGCTCGTTGGGGCTTGTTAGCGTGATGATATGATATCATAGACGTGGAAACACAACAGGTCAATTTTTTGGCAGATCAATGATACTTGTGGTGCTCTAATCCTATGTATATATATATATATATATATATATATATATATATATATATATATATATATATATATATATATATATATATATATATATATATATATAATTATACTTACTCAGAAAACATGTCCGTCTCAATTGTACTGCATGTTGAGCCAACATTTAACAACTTCTATTTCTAAATTCAAAGAATAACACTAGTTTAAGTGATATGCATAAAGCAATTCATCAGTGCTTTGCTCAATTTTATGCGCATGTGTAAAGAATGTGTGCAAAATGTATATAATTACGGATCAAAATTTTTTATGTAATTTATAATAGTATTTTACCCTTATTAAACCATAATAAAAATATACTACATTTTTTGCAACATTTATATCTAGAAGTGTTTGATCACATTCTAGAAACTCCGCGAATCATACAAGTTAAAGATCAAAACTTGTTTCAACTTTAAATATTTTTTATATTTCATCATTCTTTAACTTAGTAATTAAATGTATAAAAGCCTATACATAAGTTAAAAAAAAAATAAAAGTTAAAAGTATGCTATTTTAATTTTTTTTTTTTTATATATAAATAACAAAATCAATATTTACTAACTTTATCTTTCTTAACAGAAATTTGAAACAGTGTAACTGACTTTAATCTTTTAAAAAAAAAGATTTTTATTGACTTTGTATACTTTTTTCAACTTTTTTTTGGGTAATGCATCATTTTGAATTAATGGATTTTCAAATTTTGGAGGAGCTGAAGAAATGAAAGAAGTTATTACTAATAAAAGTTCGTAACGCTTTCAAATGAAATAAATTATATCCCAAACCATTGTTATATATTTTTAAAAACGAAGGCAAAAATAATAATCAAGTTTAGGATTCAATACATTTATTTAAATAAAAACACTTTAATTTAAAACAAAATTAAATACAAAAACATCAAAATTATCAATTCTAGATTCCTCAATGCATATTTAAATACATATATATGCAATGTGTGCTTTTGAAATACAAAACAAAAATGTAGCATAATATTACTAAATACAAACACGTACTTGACCATAACATATATATCAACTGACACTTGATGTAGTTGACGCTCTGAAATATAAATTTTCAATCGATAAGTAAAATTATGAAAAAATAAAAAACATTCTTACGAGTGTTATTTGCTTTCTTTGCATTAGCATTTTTCAAAAATTTTTCTGTTCAACTTTAAATTGTACCTCATTCATGTTTGGCGCAAACTTAAAGTTATCACTAAACTTATTTTTATCTAAACCTGAAGCAAATACAAAATCTATATAAATAAATAACTATATATTGAAATTTTCTCTGCGAAAATTGTTGTAGTGGATTTGCAGTGGACCAATAAAGGCATTTTGAGCTGTTAACTCATCGGTTAATTAGTGGAGCATTACTGTCTATAATTATCCGCGGTAAGTGGCCATCCGATAAAATTTCAACAAGAGATATAGTGATTATTTATATGTTAGCCACTTTTGGTGTCTGAATATCAAAATTCAAAAGCATACATTTTTAAAAATTCACTAAAAAAAATGTTAACTCACTTCCATTTTAAATATATATTTCTCGTTATTATTTGAAATAAGATAAGTTACGGGTAGCAGTAACAGTATCGAAAACAGCCAAACTGATTAATCTCGAAATTGGAATTTCCAGAATAACATCGAAATAGAGAATAACATCGAAGTTGTAAAAAAAGGAATTGTATCGAAAATCCGAAAAATAGAATAACCTCGAAATTGTGAAAAAAGGAATAATATCGAAAAGGGACTTTTCGGAATAATATCGAAAAAGAAAACATTTCAAATTTGTTAAAAAAGGATTAGTATCGAAAATCCTAAAAGCAGAATAATCTCGAAACAGCTCAAAAGAGAATAATATTGAAAAAAGACTTACGGAACAATATCGAAAGTGTCAATAAAGGAATAGTATCGAAATTTCAAAAAACGGAATTAGATCGAAATTGTAAAAAAAGGAACAATATCGAAACGGAACTTTCCGGAATTATATCGAAACTGTGAAAAAAGGAATAAAATCGAAAAAGGACTTTCCAGAATAATATCGAAAAGGTGAATTTTAATAATAGGTTTGAAAATTCCAAAAGCAGAATAAATAGACGGCAGTTTTTTGCGGTTTTTTGCGGTTTTTAATTAAAGTGTAGTAATTACACTGTATAATTGTATAATATAAACAAAAAGCTCTATTAGTAGAACAAAAAATATTGAATGTTGTGTTGTTGGCTATTTATAAAACGATTCAAAACAAAATGTATTGATTTTATTTACAGTAGGCACTTCACACGAATTTACTATTACAATTATCTCTTGTTATAATTAATACCATTATATGCGGATAATGAAGAAGCTTTCAGAATGTGTTCATTTTTTAAATTTGGATAACTGGTTCCCAAGTTATGACAATCTATGTTGGGCTCAATAATGCCTATTTGGCGTCAAGATTTGTTGAGTTTTTCTTAAGGAATTATGGCACTAAATTTTGATAATAAATTTATTTTTCATATGCTATCAAGAAGGAATTTCATTGAAGTACTTATGCTGAATTATTTTTATTGTTTTCTTTTTTACTAAAGCATTCAATTCTACAAATTATCATTCTCATATTAGGGGAGCCAAGGTAAGAATTCCACGCCTCGTTTACCCATTTGGGGCAATTGGATCAAAAGCTATAAAAGCTTCGTTTAAACCGTAAAAATTAACTTTAGATAAAGAAATAGAGTTTTTTCAAACGGTCAGCGTAAACAAATTTATTAACATTTATAAATAACAAAAAAATATTAGGTCTAATTTCTTCTACAGAACTTTGATTGTTCTTGGCCCAATCGCCCATTCAGGACAACAAGGTAAAAATATAAAAATACACAAAGCCCGTTTTCTCATTTTGGGGCAAATTGGCCCAAGAGTAAAAAAAACTCTGTTAAAACTATAAAAATTAACTCAAGTTAAAGAAAAAGACCTTTTTCAAACTGTCAGAGTAAAGATTCATTTACATTTATAAATATCAAGAAAATATGTAAAAATCTAAGAAGAAACATTTTTCTCATTTAGGGCCGGGAGCCGTGACGTTAAACTTATAAAAATAAGCAAAAAAAAAAAAAAATCTGAAAATTTTTCAGTAATAGCTCAAACCCTAAATAAGTAAAATTTGAACTCTATTTTATGAAGTGCACCACCAATTTTATGAAATATCATGCAAATAGTTTTGTCGTTAACATGGAAATGTGAACGAAGAGTCACATTATACTAGAACTTTATCATATTTTAATTTTACGCGTTGCAACGCTTTAAAGCGAAGTATGATAAAACTCACAAATCCATGTTAATGACAAAACTATGAACATAATATTTCACAAAAGTGGTGGTGCACTTCATAAAATACCGTTCAAACTTCACTTATTTTTAAGCTTCTTTATCCGCTTAAATTGTAAATCAAATCCAAGTGACGCAGTTATATATAATGTTATTTATCATTTGCAACAACAATGTTGTTTTTATCATAAATAACGTGTTGTATTTTAGAAAAATTAGTGACATCTTTTGGAAATAATAAAAAAGTTCGCCTTTGTTTAAATGCTTGAAAACATTTGCCCTTTAGTGATTTTTTAACAAAATGATTTTAGGCTCACAGCACAGTGGGCCAGAAACATGAAAAAGTGATCAAAATTAATAACTACATATAAAATCAATTTAACAATAATTATATTAACTAAAACATAATATTACAACCATTTAAATTTTCTTCAGGTTACTCACTTTCAAAAAAGATTGTTAAAAAAGATTGTTAAAGGTTGGTTTTGCTCATTTTTTTAATTTTTGTTCACTGCTGGCCCACTGTTCACTCCTTAAATGTTAACTAAACATTTTATGTAAGCAAAACATAAAATTCCAAAAAGAACTATTAAACACTTACTTTATAAAAAAAAATCGTCCAAACTACAAATTCTGATAGAGGGGGAGGGAAAATGCCTCCTTGACCCCTCCCCCTATGACGTAGCCAATGTAGATATACCCCCATGTTGTAGCCCATGTTCAATTATACTTGTTAATATAATATTCGCAAATTATATTCATAAAAAATTTTGTAAGGCGTTTTAGGAAACTCGACTAACTTGAAGAATTATTAGTATATATATATATATATATTAGTGAATAAAATATATGAAGTTTATGTAAGCAAAACATAAAATTCCAAAAAGTACTATTAAACACTTACTTTATAAAAAACAAAATTATCAAAATATATTAGTGAATAAAATATATGAGTTTACTAATCTTCTAACAATTTATTTTATGTATAAAAGGTTATTGATTGTACTTTTTATAAAAAGTACAATCAATAACCTTCTATAAATATACAAGCCCATATCGTAAAGATTTTGAGGTTAGGTTGGTCGTTTCGGAGAAAATTGTGGTCAAGAATAGAAAATCTTAATTAATTTTTATAACGTGAAACTAAGAGTATTTGGTCAAAAAAAAGATGTCAATCGCTCACGATTATCTCCTCTCTTTCCCCACCCCTACCAACAGTAAGGACGTGATAAATTTAATAGAAACTAGCTTTTAATAGAAAATTTATATCAATAGCAACTCTTTAAACAAAAATGCATATTTATTATGAAGCAAATTAAGGATGAAAAATCCTTTTTTATAGCTGTTTTGTGCTGGTCTGAAAAATCTGGGTCTGTGTTTTATATAATCTATAAGGTGTTATATCTTGGAAAGGAAATATTTTCAGCAAATGGTTTTCACATACTTTTTGACAAGGTCTTTCCAATTATATAGTTTTTTGTTTAATTTCTATATATTTTTTTCCTGACTGTAACAAGTTATGATCCCGGCAAAAAATTTTTTAGCACTCGTTTTCTTCTTCTTAGTTTTAACCTAGTTAAACAAGTTTAAAGCTAGCTAGACAAGTTAAAACCTAGTTAAAAAACGTTAAAAGGAAAAAGTTGCTTCTAACACGCTTGTGCACACGAAAGTGCTAATCGTAACATAGTAACCGTCACGATAAGTCTTTCATTGATACTATCACTTGCTTCAAAGAAACTTATCTAATTTTGCTAGACAAGCAGCTGTAGAATTTTATGCTACATTTATCTATACAATAACTTTAACATGTAAATGACTATTGTTTCTAGGGTGATGGAATTTATTTAGTACTTATCCTTAACGTAATATGGGGTTTGCTCAACTGAAACCAATACAATACGCCAACTTACGGAAAATCTTGTAGGCCCAAATGGAATTTAAAGTCATTTATGTAAACTAAAAAATGACGTTATTGATT